ATATATGGATAATATGTAGATAATATATGGATAATATGTAGATAATATATGGATAATATGTAGATAATATATGGATAATAATGGATAATATGTGGATAATATATGGATCATATATGGATCATATACGGATAATAATGGATAATATATGGATAATATATGGGGGATAATAATGGATAATATGTGGATAATAATGGATAATATGTGGATAAGATATGGATAATATATGGATAATATATGGATAATAATGGATAATATGTGGATAATATATGGATAATATGTGGATAATATATGGATAATAATGGATTATATGTGGATAATATGTGGGTAATATATGGATCATATATGGATCATATATGGATAATAATGGATAATATGCGGATAATATATGGATAATATATGGATCATATATGGATAATAATGGATAATATGTGGATAATATATGGATAATAATGGATATCTAATAATATCTTAGGTTTGTCACGCCGTGGAAATCCACGCTCGGATAGGTCAGGCGAGCCATTGGTACCATTGTCGATTAGTTCCTTAGCTAAGTTGGTGCAAATAACTCCAATAACTATGGTTTATGGTAGATATATCAATATTTAACTATGGTTTATAAACCAACTTATAACTGGGGGGCACAACTGAGTCCTAACTGAATCTAAAGACTGCTGTCAAGCTTCGCACTGCAACATCCCATGCGGTATTGCAAAAAGAGTCGGACCGGCAGTGCGTCTTGATAACTTCTGAGCCAAAATCCACACAGTGCGGACTTCACGGACAGGGAAAGCTGCTTCACGCATGGAGGTTTCATGTTCCCCGCATCGGTGTGTCTATTTAAAAAGAACTCATTGAAAACGAACTTCGAGAAAGTTATATCGCAAAAGAAGAATCGTTAAAGCCCATCTCAAGAAAAACCCAACAGAGGTCACAAAACACATAGGCGTCTCACTCTCAGGTGATAGATCTGCTACGTCCTCTTCCATGCACAATCGCACCAATTTGAAGCCATCAATCTGTGAAATGAAAATCATGAAAGTATCCTCAACAGGAAGATGATGATCCCCATATCCCATGGTTGATCATCATAAATGTATTTATATATATATGTGTGATTATACATAAATGATCATAAATGTATATATATATATGTATGATATATGATAAATTATCATATATATATATTGTAGTTATATATAATCACTTAAATATCTTCCAGCCTCCAAAATGCCGCAGAAATCTCTCAGATCACCATCAACAGCGCACAGATCCCAAGGGATGTCAAACCATATGATTTCGCGCAAGGGATGCCAGCCCTTCTTCACAACGCTGCTCAAAGAAAAATCCTTTTGCAAAAATGCTAGACATGATTAGACATGTTAGACATATGAGAACTTTGGAAAGCCATATCAGTTATCCATGGATCCGGCATGATCCGGCTATCCCAAGCACAATTGTAGAGATCTATCCACATCCCAACCAGTTCTCCTGAGGTTAAAGTCTCTTGTCCGCGGGTCAAGACTTCAGCTGCCCTGGACAAGGGCTGTCCAAATATGGGCGGAATTTGCATTGCATAGCAGCTATCGATTCTATATAATTCTATACATATTATCATATGTATATATGTGTATATATATATAATTCCATATTGTAGATGCATTTTTTACATGCATTATAGATGTATTATAGATTATAGATAGAATGCATTGGTTTTCATGAATGTTAATGATGCTGGCGGCTCGATCTCAGGACACTCAGCCACCATCCCTGACCATCCCTGACCATCCCTGAGACCGACAGTAGCGATGAAGTGGATGAAGTTGATGGCTGAACACTTGGATGAAAGTTTGGCATGATCTATCTGATCTATCTATATACTATATATATATACATATTTATATCTATATATATATAATATATGTATATATCATATGTCATCATATCTATCTCATAGATAATGAAATGATTCATCATGTTTCCCGTGCATCTCCATGAAAAATCATGAACATCTATCGCAACATTTTACCACCATCCATGTCTTGAATTGCTGATTTCAGCCTGATCCAGCTGAATCCGCCTCCGGATCAGCTGGGTGATGTGCTTTAAATCCTGGCGGGTGAATTTTCAGGTCCAACAATTCATGCACTGATGATACCCAGGGATGAAAAGACGCAAACATACGCAAAGACTACCCTCTGGTAATCTGATAATTTCACATAGTTATTGAAAATTGCCATTTTAGCTCATTGATTTACAGTACCCATTAGAAATGGTGATTTTCCATGGTTTTCTGTATGTTTACCAGAGGGTATCTTCACGATGAAACGTAGACTTTCTACATCTTCTCCCCGGTGAGATAGATCAAGGCATCACCTTTGCATGCCTTCAGGTTTCCCCTGGGGGGCGCTGTGGGGAACCCTAACCTTGAAATCTTCCATAACCAATGCTTGAAACGGAGTGAATCTGTCAGTGGCAAACTCCTGGCCCCCTGACATGAAAACATCCACGGACGCCACTTACTCTGGGATTCCTGGCAATTTATTGCTGCCAACCGATCAATCTGGGTGTGTATCCAACTGTGACCAACAGCAACCAACAAACCGAGGGGAACTGACCAAATAAAAACATCTAAGTATTAACCTAATGTCCAAACCTTCCAAAACATGATTCATCACACCTGTTTTAACACCAAAATGACCGAAAAATGTGAGTAAAACAACAGTAAAACATCCCCAATTTTATGATTGCCATCCATTGGGCGGTTTTCATCCTTGTAATGAAAAATATGGTAAAATACCATCAAAATCGTGATATACCCCTAAATCATCCATTTTCTACCAGTCGTACCGCACAAGGCGGTGGCGGATGTTTCAAAAATAGGAAACCTATAGGAGAGGTTGGTGGCTGTAGTGGTTGCAATGTTTGCAGTGGTCACCTCACCACAACTGCTGGATACAGTGTGGTGTAGCGCGGTTGTAGTTGTAGTTGTAGCTGTAGTGTAATGTAGCGTAGTGGAGTTGTAGTTGCAATGTTGTGTAATAAGTGTAGTGTAGTTGCTGTTGCAGTTGTAGTTGTAGTTGTGGTGTGGTGTAACTAGTGTAGTGTATTATAGTGTACTGTAGCGTTGTGTACTGTAGTGTGGTATAGTGCAGTGTAGTCTAGTGTAGTGTAGTTGTAGTTGTAGTGTGGTGTAGTGTAAGTAGTTTAGTGTCGTGTAGTGCAATTTAGTGGTAGTTGCAATTGTCAAAGGAAGTTTAGGGGGAGAAACTTCCGTGTTACGGACTTTTAGAATGTCAGGGAAAGAGTTAATCAAAGAAAGAGTTAGTGAGGGAAAGAGTTAGTCAAAGAAAGAGTTAGTGAGGGAAAGAGTTAGTCAAAGAAAGAGTTAGTGAGGGAAAGAGTTAGTCAAAGAAAGAGTTAGCAAAGAAACAGTTAGTCAGGGAAAGAGTTAAAGAGTTAGTGAGGGAAAGAGTTAGTCACAGAAAGAGTTAGTCAAAGAAAGAGTTAGTCAAAGAAAGAGTTAGTGAGGGAAAGAGTTAGTCAAAGAAAGAGTTAGTCAAAGAAAGAGTTAGCAAAGAAACAGTTAGTCAGGGAAAGAGTTAGTCAAAGAAAGAGTTAGTGAGGGAAAGAGTTAGTCAAAGAAAGAGTTAGTGAGGGAAAGAGTTAGTCAAAGAAAGAGTTAGCAAAGAAACAATTAGTCAGGGAAAGAGTTAGTCAAAGAAAGAGTTAGTGAGGGAAAGAGTGAGTCACAGAAAGAGTTAGCAAAGAAATTGTTCCCTCACTGTAAATGGGATTGCAAGTGGTGCTGGTGGAGGAGTTGCCGATGGAGTTTTGAAGGAAGTCTCGCACGAAATGCGTTTTTGAGAGATGGCAGCTGCACGAAACCCGGTGTTTTTCCGGACAAAGTGCGTCCCCGAACGTCGATGATCTACCTCTGCGGTGCGACGGGTGCGAGACGGTCTCGTGTGTGGTCGGATCATTCTCGGATCATTCTCGGATCGGTTCCGCATTCTACATGGGGTGTCACCTGTGTTTCGTGCATTTGTGGTCGACAGAATTCCATTGTGATTTGCAACTGTAGGATCGTTCCCGCAATGTAAATGGGATTGCAAGTGGTGCTGGTGGATGAGTTGCCGATGGAATTCCATTGTGATTTGCAACTCTAGGATCGCTCCCTCACTGTAAATGGGATTGCAAGTGGTGCTGGTGGAGGAGTTGCCGATGGAGTTTTGAAGGAAGTCTCGCACGAAATGCGTTTTTGAGAGATAGCAGATGCACGAGAGCCTATGTTTTTCCATACAAAGTCCGTCCCCGAACCTCGATGATCTACCTCTGCGGTGCGACGGTTGCGAGACGGTCTCGTGTGTGGTCGGATCATGCTCGGATCATTCTCGGATCGGTTCCCCATTGTAAATGGGGTGTCACCTGTGTTTCGTGCATTTGTGGTCGACAGAATTCCATTGTGATTTGCAACTGTAGGATCGTTCCCGCAATGTAAATGGGATTGCAAGTGGTGCTGGTGGATGAGTTGCTGATGGAATTCCATTGTGATTGGCAACTGTAGGATCGTTCCCTCAATGTAAATGGGATTGCAAGTGGTGCTGGTGGATGAGTTGCCGATGGAGTTGTGAAGGAAGTCTCGCACGAAATGCGTTTTTGAGAGATAGCAGATGCAGGAAACCCTATGTTTTTCCATACAAAGTGCGTCCCCGAACCTCGATGATCTACCTCTGCGGTGCGACGGGTGCGAGACGGTCTCGTGTGTGGTCGGATCATGCTCGGATATGTTCGGATCATTCTCGGATCGGTTCCGCATTGTAAATGGGGTGTCACCTGTGTTTCGTGCATTTGTGGTCGACAGAATTCCATTGTGATTTGCAACTGTAGGATCGTTCCCGCAATGTAAATGGGATTGCAAGTGGTGCTGGTGGATGAGTTGCCGATGGAATTCCATTGTGATTTGCAACTCTAGGATCGTTCCCTCACTGTAAATGGGATTGCAAGTGATGATGGTGGATGAGTTGCCGATGGAATTCCATTGTGATCTGCAACTCTAGGATCGTTCCCTCACTGTAAATGGGATTGCAAGTGGTGCTGGTGGAGGAGTTGCCGATGGAGTTTTGAAGGAAGTCTCGCACGAAATGCGTTTTTGGCGCTTAGTGATTTTCCTTCTAAAAATCCTTTTAAAAAGTGCTTCAAAATCGTCTTTTTTTCGCTCTGGCGTCGAGATCCGCTTTTGGAGCTACAATTTCCGACGCCGTTGCGCGTAGTTCTATTGTGTTTTGCAACTCAGTCTCCGCAGATCGCATTGTAATGGCTGTGTCAAGGTTGCTTCATGCTGTGGCTGCATGCGTAATACTATTGTCTTTTGCAGCTGGACTTTGTAAATCGTATTGGAGTGGCTGCATGAAGGCTGCGACAGTGATTTGTCAGCAGATTTCCTCCATTTTGGCGCTAGTAATTTTCCTTTTAAAAATCCTTTTAAAAAGTGCTTCAAAATCGTCTTTTTTTCGCTCTGGCGTCGAGATCCATCCGGTTTTGGAGCTACAATTTCCGATGCCATTGCGCGTAGTTCTCTTGTGTTTTGCAACTCAGTCTCCGCAGATCGCATTGGAATGGCTGCGTCAAGGTTGCTTCTTGCTTTGGCTGCATGCGTAATGTCTTTTGCAGCTGGATCTCGTACATCGTCTTGGACTGGCTGCATGAAGGCTGCGAAATGGATTTGTTAGCAGGTTTTCTCCATTTTGGCGCTAGTGTTTTTTTGTTGCACGTAGGTTTAGAGCAGTGTGAAGTGTGGGGCGTGAAGAGTGCAGTGTGAAGTGTGCAGTGTGAAGGAAGCAGTGGGAAGTGAGAAGTGTGGAGTGTGAAGTTTAAGTTTGGAGTGCGAAGAGCGTAGTGTGAAGTGTGAAGTGTGAGGTTTGGAGTGTGAAGGAAGCAGTGAGAAATGAGAAGTGTGAAGTGTGAAGTTTGGAGTGTGAAGGAAGCAGTGAGAAGTGAGAAGTGTGAAGTGTGGAGTGTGAAGTGTGAAATGCGAAGTGAGAAGTGTGGAGTGTGAAGTGTGAAGTGTGAAGTGTGGACTGTGAAGTACGAAGTGTGAAGTGTGGACTGTGAAGTGTGAAGTGTGAAGTGTGGACTGTGAAGTGTGGAGTGTGAAGTGCGAAGTGAGAAGTGTGAAGTTTGGAGTGTGAAGGAAGCAGTGAGAAGTGAGAAGTGTGAAGTGAGAAGTGTGAAGTGTGGACTGTGAAGTGTGGAGTGTGAAGTGTGGACTGTGAAGTGTGAAGTGGGAAGGAAGCAGTGAGAAGTGAGAAGTGTGAAGTGTGGACTGTGAAGTGTGGAGTGTGAAGTGCGAAGTGAGAAGTGTGAAGTGTGAAGTTTGGAGTGTGAAGTTTGGAGTGGGAAGGAAGCAGTGAGAAGTGAGAAGTGTGAAGTGTGGACTGTGAAGTGTGGAGTGTGAAGTGCGAAGTGAGAAGTTTGGAGTGTGAAGGAAGCAGTGAGAAGTGAGAAGTGTGAAGTGAGAAGTGTGAAATGTGGAGTGTGAAGTGTGAAGTGTGAAGTGCGAAGTGAGAAGTGTGGACTGTGAAGTGTGAAGTGTGAAGTGTGGACTGTGAAGCGTGAAGTGTGAAGTGTGGACTGTGAAGTGTGAAGTGTGCAGTGTGAAGTGTGAAGTGTGAAGTGTGAGGTTTGGAGTGTGAAGGAAGCAGTGAGAAGTGAGAAGTGTGGAGTGTGAAGTGTGAAGTGTGGAGTGTGAAGTTTGGAGTGCGAAGAGTGCAGTGTGCAGTGTGAGGTGTGGAGTGTCGAGGGAAGGACACGGTCGGGACAGGTTGTCTTTGAACTATAGGTCATTTATGTTTGGGAAACTTCCGCCGCCGGCTTGCCCGGGTCTATGTTAGTTGCAGTTGCAGTTGTAGCTGTAGTTGTAGCGTAATGTAATGTAATTAGTGTAGTGTAGTGTTGTGTAATGTAGTGTAGTTGTAGTTGCATTTGCATTTGTAGTTGTAGTGTGCTGCGGTGTAATTAGCGCAGTGTAGTGTAGTGTGGTGTAGTTGATATTATTGTTGTAGCTGTGGTAGTAGTTGTTGTTGTAGCTGTAGTGTCATTAGCGTAGTTTAGTGTAACTAGATGTAATGTAATTATATAGTGTAGTGTAGTGTAATTAGTGTAGTCTAATGCAGCGTAGTTTTGTTTGTATTTGTAGTAGTAGTGTAGTCTAGTGGTAGTTACTGGTAGTTGTAGTTGTAGTTGTCTGTCTGTCTATCTATCTATCTATCTACCTATCTATCTATCTATCTGTCTGTCTGTCTGTCTATCTGTCTGTCTGTCTATCTGTCTATCTGTCTATCTGTCTATCTATCTTCAATCTGTAAGCTTGAAAACGAAGCTATTCTGCTAGGCTTCCTCCATTTTCGAACTTGACCACATCAGAAGATGAGCAAGTCTGCGAGACCTCCTCCATTTTTGAACTTGACAACATCAAAAACGAAGCAATTCTGCGAGACTTCTTCAAAATTGGAAAGTTGAGTGCAGAGCTGACGGCCTCGTGCCAATGCGTTTTGTTGCGATTTTTCCATTCCATCTGTCTAAAGTATTGCGCTTGCCAGGAAAAAGTGAGGCCAGGTCATAAGGAGTGCTGCACCTGTCACGCAAAATCATCTTAGCACACCTGAAGATCTGATGCTCCAAAATGCAACCCCTCTCAGGAAATCAGCACCCTGACCTCCTAACATCTCTGATGAACATGTCTCTGGTACTGCCTGCCACGCTAAACGCATCTTTGCAGATCCTCTTCAAATGCCCCACGCCTGCCATCGTTTTTAAAACTGCTACAGAACCGTCACGTTTTGCTCACTTTTGACAAGGTGCACAGTCCCCTGCGCCTGCCATGCAAAACGACATCTGAACGTCCAAAAGTGGTCCGAACATGTGGTGCTTTTAACATTTTGACTTGGAAATTTTCTTCGCCCCACAACGGCGTGCACTTTTTCGACATCTCAACTTCCAAAAGCAGTCCGAACATGGTGTGCTTTGTACATTTGGACTTGGAAATGTGCTTCGCGCCACAACGGCGTGCACTTTTTCGACATCTCAACTTCCAAAAGTGGTCCGACAATGGTGTGCTTTGTACATTTTGACTTCGAAATGTGCTTCGCGCCACAACGGCGTGCAATTTTTCATCTCTCATCTGGCCAGCTGGCTCCGCACCCGCCGCTTTAGCGAGCCTACTTTTCGACCCTCCGGAGCCACAAATCATTGGAAAAACGCGGTGATTCGCGGCTTTTCTACCTTTTCACGCACCTGCATCTTCTTTCTTCTGTCTCTTTCCCCTCTTTGATCTTGTCTCTTCTTCTCTTCTCCTCTCTGACTCTTCCCACCTCTGATATTTTCGGAAGTTTGACTTCTAAACTTCCTTCCATCATTTTATTCCGATGTTCCATGATTTTCCAAGATAAAACCATCCAGCTATTGGGGCACCTCCATTTCAGGAAACCCTTCAGGGCCTCCTTCTCAGTGGCGATGCCACGCGCCCCGGGTTGGGCCAACAATGACAAGATGTGGCTGCCGTTAGCCTTGCGCAAGTTGCGCCCGGTGGCAGCGTCCTGAACGCTGTGGGGAACTTGGAGTTGTTGTCCAAATGTGACCAGGTTTTCTTCATTTTGGTGATGATCTGATCATCATTTTTGATCATTGTGTCATATTTGACCAGTTTGATGATCATTTTAACATGGATGTAGTGTAGCCCCCAATCCTCCAGTGATCATGATGTTCATTTTAACAATTTTTTTACCTATCAAAAACAGCCACACATGTGTGGTAAAATCATGCTCTGGATCACGCCATCCGTGACTTTTTTTGGAATTGTTAGTCACGCAAACTACCCAGTAGCATCCATTAGAAAACTATCTGCTGGACCGGTATCAGCTACTGGGTTTTGCTAAATCAATTTCTGTAGGACTATCTGCTGATTTTCTTGGCTTGAAATGTGGTTTGATTGGTGGTATACCTATATACCCCTCTGAAAAATATGAGTTCGTCAGTTGGGATGACTATTCCCAACTGAATCGAAAAATACCCTCTGGTAAACTAACATAGCTATGGAAAATCACCATTTTTAATGGGAAAATCCACTATTAATGGCCATTTTCAATAGCTACGTTAAATTACCAGAGGGTAAAATTCATGTTCCAACCCACCAACCAGTGGTGCTCGATGGGCATTTTTGATGCTGATGGATGAACCATGCAGGGGTTACCCGCTTCCACCACATTGCAGTTTTCAAACCACCTGGAACTTCCATACAGGATGGGGCCCCCCAGTGATGTTTGTTGGTTTATAAACCATTATAACCCCCATTAACTATAGTTATATCATGTTATATCTAACCATAGTTAAGCCACTTATAAGGCAACTTAGCTATCTTGGGGGCCTCATCTTGTACATTCTGATAACTTATACAAACAGAAAAAGTTGTTTAAGGATTCGTGTTTGTTTGCAGTGCTGGTTTGCCCCGAAAATCCGCAAATCCGGGCTGCAGTGAGCTGGGCTTGTGGGATGACAAGCCAATTTTTTGGTCATCCAAGCAGCTTGGCTAACATTTTCTGGTTGGTGGTATACCTGCCCCTCTGAAAAATATGAGTTCGTCAGTTGGGATGATTATTCCCAACTGAATCGAAAAATAAAATTCATGTTCCAAACCACCAACCAGTTTTTCTGATGACTCTCCGTGCAGCCACCCATGTTCATCCATGTCCACCCATGTCCCACTCTCCTGCACCAAAGTCTCCGCTGAGATTGCGTCTTCTAGGGCGAAAAGGTGCTTTTTCACCAAATTCAGGTGCTTCCTCGGATGAAAAATCATGGACCCAATCAGAAGATAGACATTTTCAGAAGAATGCAACTAATGGTGGGTTCCAGAAATGAGGGTACCCCAATAGCTGGATAGTTTATAATGGACACTCCTATTAAAATTGATGATTTGGGGGTACCCCCGTTGGAAACCTCCAAATGACTCGTGAGATTTGCAGCCAAGCGACAAGAACACGTCGCATTTTGTATCCTGGGGAATTTCGACGGGAAATGCAGGCAATTGTCATGGTTTACTTCTAAATCGGCCAAATAATCCTTGTGAAACACAAGGCTGTACAGTCTCGGGCTGCAAATTCAAGAAAATAGCAGGCCGGATTGTGGACTATTGTATACACGTTTTTTGCATAATGTAATATCTGCTACTCATCATGATATTGCTTGGTATGTGCAGAATATACCAATATTACCAATCTGGATTTGATTTGAGTCATGTGCATGGCACAATCAATCACAATCATCAGTCTCAGGTGGGGCTTATGTCAAGGGAGGTAGTCATTCCCATGGTTCCCATGGCAGCAATGCCCCAGTTAGTTCTATGATTTTCCCACCAAAACCATCCAAAACCTCCATTTTCAGCCACGTTTTTCATGACCGGAAGGTATCTGGTTCAAGGATAAACCTTCCACGAACAGAGTAGGTCAGCAGCCTTGCCAAATGCCATCGGGTGAAAGATACGGATCCTGCCTGCCCCCTAAAAAATGTCCGAATAGATGGGTCGTTTGTTACCTATGAATTTACCATATGACTGGGGGAATAAACATCCAGCATCCAGCTATGTTAGAGTACCAACCCAGCAAGGGGTTTTGACTCATAGCCATAATGGCCGGAGGTGACACCAGAGTGAAATCGACCATGTGAATCTTTTTTGGAAATTGGCTACACCATGGTACGAAAAGTGACCATCAATAAATGCAGAGAAAGAGTTTGGTTCTACTATGTTTCACTATGTTTCATTTGGAAAAAAGAATTTTGCTTCCCAAGTTGTGTTGAGGTGCCACACTGAAAAAATGCATCTGGTTGTCTTTCACTCATTCACTCACCTGAAGATACTGGCCCATGTTTTCGGGCCATTTCGAGATGATTCCCCATTAATGGCTATGAGTCAAAACCCTGGCACCCCAAAATCGCTGGGATTGATGGACGTTTATCCCAGGAAAATTGATAAATATAGGTAACTTGACCCATCTCTATGCCAATGGGAGATCTCCAGGATCCATCTTATGGAGGTACGTTAGTACCATATTTTAGGCCATATTTTGTGGGGATATTCCCTGAAATTTAGCCCTAAAAAATAGGCCTTATATATGCTAGGTACCCCCTTTCTTTCCTGAAATGGCCATTGACTATACATAAACAGGAAATAGATAAATATAGGTACCCTCTGGTAATTTAACATAGCTATTGAAATGGCCATAGAAATAGTGGATTTACCCATTGATAGCATGGTGGATCTTTCCATACAGTAGTTATGTAAACGTTTACCAGGCCGGGTAAACGTTTAGGGTATGATTCTCCATATATCAACGATCCAGTGACATATTTCCACAGTCCTTCAGAACCTCAATCGCCTCACCCTGCTCCACCAAATCAAAGGCATCCTCTGCGGATCTGGGCGTTTTGCGCGTTTTGCTACGGCGCCCCAGTGGCCATTTGGTGGGGAGATTTGATGGGGAAATGATGATTACCCTCCAGTAAATTAACAGTTCGACCCTGGCAGTCATCGGGCTTGGAAGACTGGTGAAACCACTAAAAGTAAGTCTTATTTTCAGGGTCAACAAGTTAATTTACCAGAGGGTAAGACTGACATATTTCCACAAATGTGATGGGAAATGATGGGAATGGATATTAGTGATGGATTTCGCAGTGGAATGGATACCCGGCCTGGTAAACGTTTACATGGCTATAGAAAATCACCATTTTTAGTGGGTAAATCCACTATTTCTATGGTCATTTTCAATAGCTATGTTAAATTACCAGAGGGTACCTGATGTTCAGCGAAATGTCGAAAAACATATCCATCTACTTCGACAGAATTCCATATGGTGATGGGTCAAAACCCTGGTACCCGAATGGCACCCTAACATAGCTGGTATAGCTGGGTGTTTATTCCCCCAGTCATTTGGTAAATTCATGGGTAACTGGTAACTCATCCCGATATCATATCCACTGCTTTTCTATCCCATGATATTGCTCCCTCAGACACCTCCAGTTCTCCAATGGCACCCGCAATGTCTGCCTGGCGTGCCCATTCAACTCAGTTGATATCGATCACAACTTATTCAAGCAGCTATAAGCTTATGATATGTTGTCAATATGTTATGCTATGTCAATTGACTGGTTATAATATGTTTGAAAATGTTATGATATGTTGTGTGGTACGATATTTCAATATATTTCAATTGAATATTCAATACCTACAAGAAACATTTTCCAACGCGCCAACCAAAATCTCACTCAGCGGTCGCAAAAAAAAAAAACTGTGTACAATCCGCGTCCGTCGCCTGGGTAATTTCGAAAGACGCATTCTCCTCACAAGATCGCCTTAATATGGCATGGCATGCATCATGAAATCTATGAGAAATCTATGAGATTTGTTTGAGAAAGCTATGACATTATGAGAATATGTTCGAGTCGAGTGGAATGGAAGATTCACAAGACAACATAATAATTTATCATGCGAGCTATCTTGGATTATCTGCTACATCAGATACATCCACCAGTGCAATATGCAATCAGATCTCGGCTTGTAGATCCCCCAGTGCCGTTCAATGCGTTCAATGCCATGCCTTCCAGCATGTTCCGGCCATGTTTCGTCTAAAAAAAAAGGCCTGTGATGAGTTTCACATAGTTTCACTACCGGGATCCATCATGTTGTGTCTGGTTTGCCTTTTTTGCACCATCTGGTTATGACTAACATCAGCCATGGAAAATCACCATGCTATTAATAGCTAAACCATCTATTTCAATGGGCCATCTATACCATGGCTATGTTAGTCATAACCAGAGGCTAATTCAACGGCACTGTTAGCCATACTATGCCAGGATGCTCGATGTTATGCCCTTCGTCAAATATGAGGATGCTGTGCTTCAAGGATACCTCCCAGTGGATCATACTTCGACACTCATCCCACTTGAAACAAGTGGTGAGCAGCCACTGGAAGGCAAGTTCTCTGAAGATTCAAAATCAAATTTTGCAGATTTGAAACCATGATTTTTTTTGGGTGCTAACATGTGCTAACCACTTGCAACTTTGAATGATCATCGTAGTATCGCACCAACACACCTGGTGCAAACCCTCGACAAAACTGACAATAGTTTGGACCCAACGCCTGCAGGGACTCACGGGTTTGGGGGCTGATCAAATAGTCGTAGGGCAACATCAGCAAGTCAGCCTCTTTCGCATCCTCCCGCACCTGGCAACCAACTGTCCGGACTTATCGAGAGAAAACCATGACAATGGGGGCCATCAAACAATGTGAACCTATGGAGCGGCGAAATCATCATTCAGTCACTCACAAAATGTTCCATGGAAAAAAAAACTCTTCCAACAGGAAACAAAACACGATCGTGGTTAGTAGGAATGATTAGTACATATAGCCTCATAGCTAGAAACAAATACATTATTTAAATATACGTACATATCTAATATATTATTGTATCTATTTAAATTGTATAAATTGTATAAATCTATGTTTAGAGTTGGTACAGTAACCTAAATCATTTGATCCATCTGAAACGGCGTCTGCGCAAAAATCAACTTGTTTTTTCGTGCCATCAAGAGATGGTACCCTCTGGTAAACCTGTACAAAAAACGAACTGGAAAGATCCACCATGCTATCAATGGGTAAATCCACTATTTCGACTGGGCCATGTTCAATAGCAAACTGATTACCAAAGGGTATGTGGTTTATGCATGTTTTTGGTCATTCTACCATGTTGAGTGAATGAAAATGGAAAAATCCCATCCTTCAAGGAGGATCCAGCCTGTTTTCACCCTGGAAACCCAGCCTGTGAACATCATTAACACTGTTACAGTTTGCTATTGAAGCCATGGCCCAGTCGATTTATAGTGGATGAATCCAGTACCCATTGATAGCATGCATGGTGGATCTTTCCATAGTTGTTTTTTGTAAATGTTTACCAGATCAATGGGAATTTCAGGATCCTAAAATGGAGGTACTGTACCATATAAGGCCATATTTTGTGGGGATATTCCCTATAAAACCAGAGATAAAACTGTGCCTTGAAGTATGGACACACCGTCGCTTCTCTGCAGCTTTCGACGATCTCCTCGATATCTCGTAGAGCCGTGGAGACCTCGATTTGGTTGGGTGCCAGTCGCGGCCAAAATCCGGCTATTCTGCCGCCATTACATCGTTGAAACAATGCCATTTTTACCACCCATGACTGGGAATGGTATGAAATAAACCAACTACAAAAATGGTGATGACTGGGGGATGGTTTATGGCAGTGTTTTAACCACATTATAATGCATTGACAGGAATTCAAGATATCAATTCAAGTTGCAAGTGCTCTGGAAATACATCACATATCAGTACATATCACCACATCAAAGATAGAAGCAACGAGACACAAATACAGTAGATACCTAGTACAAATGAGGATAGCAATTAAGGATAGCTTCTCTGATCGCATGTGAGAGTCCCGCGTGTCCAATGACCGAAAGATCCCAGCAAATGTCAATCATGTCAATCCATCAGTATTGCCTCTTGAAGTGAAAAAGGTGCCATTTTTCCATGTACTTTGTGGTCGCATGTTAACTTGCACAAATTTTCACAACCTTGTAGAACGGCTCCTTTTTTTGGGGCACTGCTGTTGAAGCAGAAGCACCTTGAACTGGTCATGGTACAGTCATCCCGCCATCGACATCGGATGATCCCTCGAAAATCGAAAATCGCCCTGCCTTGCTGCCACACTTTCGGAAGCCCGTGTAGAATGGACAGCGGTGTTCCTCGGTGGCCCGCGACTTCGAAAAAGCGCACCTCCGAGAATCCTGTGACCTGCGGTATGTTGCGGTTTAAAAGTTTGAATACCCTCTGGTTATGTCAACAGTTTGCTTAAAAAAATGGCCATAGAAGTAGTGGATGAATCCCCATTGAACATGGTGGATCTTTCTATAGTTATGTAAACGTTTACCAGAGGGTATATTTCAGTATCCTGTATGTAAAAAAAACGCTTCGATCATCACGTATCATCTAGCTATATACACTCTTACCGATAATTTCATAGAAATTTGGGTCATTCAAAAACCAGTCTATGAAATGGCTTGAAAGTGTCAGTTTTGGGCCCCATAGCCCACACGAATTTCTGTAAGAATAAGTCCCTCTATGACGTCTATGAAACAACCGTACCAGCATGCCAACATAAAACCTGCAAGACTCTATGAAATGGCTATGCGTAATGAAATGACTGATGGTGGTTTTGACAACCCCCGCCCGTTCCTCTATGAAATGAATCTTGGTAATATCATTCCATAGAGGCTAGAGTAAGGGGGATCACTTATCTACGTAAAGAACTGTCATCAGTCTCTTCTGCTAAGTACCATCTGGTTATGACTGACATAGCCATGGAAAATCACCACGCTATTAATAGGTAAACCATCTATTTCAATGGGCCATGGCTTAACCATGGCGAACTGTTAGTCATACCCAGAGGGTATAAATTATGCCGGTCCCTAGGAAATCTCTACGAGGATCAGCCAAAGGAGCCTACCCTGGCTGCTTTTGATATATTAATTCAATGGATTGGTTTTGTTGGGAAAATCTACAGGAAACTATGGATTTTCCATTGAATATGGGGCTTTCCGGTTAGAAATTTCCCTTGAACCAATCCATTGAATCCGCCCGCACCGAAGGTGCTGGGGCGTGATCGTCCGGATGGCACTCGTAAAAGGTTACAGGTTTACCTGGGGGGGGGGGCATTTTTCGGCCAAAACCTCCTGTTTTTGATAGGTCGTGACGCTCGCCTTCAAAAAACACTGTAAAAAACAGTACGGAAGACACCTGTTCGTGAACGCGCCCGTCCAAAATCGGCAAGCGAAAAGTGAAAAAAACCCGTGTTTTTCAACTTTTTGACCTCAATTTTTTGGTTTGCAACATCTTTTTTTGCGGTTCCGCAGGTGGCCGGGCCCGGAGGCGGATTTTTGAGTTTTTGGGCCCGTTTTCGGACTGATTTTCGTCGTTTTGTGATAGCAGAAACACTGGTTTTTACAGTGTTTTTCTGTTTTCTGCATGCTTGACGGCTAGCTTCAAAACTTCCAAAAACCTCGTAAATTACGCTGTTTTATGTTACGGTGTGAATGAAAACATCGTAAATACCAGTGTTTTTTGACGTTGGTTAAAAAAACACTGTAAATTACAGTGTTTTTGGCCACCTGACCCTCAAAAACCATGGTATTTGCAGTGGTTTCTGCTTCTCACCGCGCAAAAACACTGTAAATAACAGCAATTTCGCCGTTTTTTCATGTTTTTCGTTATTTTTTGAACTGCGTTGGTCCGCTATACATGGCTATCAAATTCTTCGCGTTTTTTTTTCCGACAATCAGTACTTTCGGATGTTTTTGGTCTCAATGGCCGACATCATTGGCAGTTACGAGCGGCTGCCCAACGATGCGGTGCGGGCGGTTGCCGTCGCGAAGCGACGTGAATTAATATCTTGATGGTAGCGTCATAAAATCGAAAGTGGGGTGTTCCTGCCTTGATTTGAGGCACAAAAATCATTCACAGCAGCTCAATTGGAACGTTTGTTTTGGGGATAAGATCTCAATTGGATTCAATTGGATTCAATTGGGTCAAAATAATTCACTCAGCCAGGCTGTTGTGACATGTTGAATGTTGTGGACTTCGCCCAAACATGCCAAGAAAGGATATGAAAAGACATCATGGTCAAATGCCGTTCAGAGTGCGCTGTTTTGCTGATTTCACCCCAATTCCTTCGTATCAACTATCAACATAGTGAAAAAGAACCATGAAACCACAAGAAGTCATACAAAGCAATATATGGCAGTGTGTCAAAACCTTGTACCCCTGGTGAACATCAAAATAGCTGGTAAATGGATGTTCATCCCACTAAAATGTATCTATAGGTATTGACCCATACCTATATTGCAAAATTAAGTAATGTGAACTGAGTGGCACTTGTTTCATACTTGTTTCACAGCGGAACCAGCAGCTGGTCTTTCCACTGAGTTCTCGGTATCCTGCTGGAAACCCTGTGAGTTCCCTGAAAGGATCACGACTCTACGAGATCTTGTGCAAGCGTATAAATCGTTAATAAAGTTTTTATATGATCCGTTTGCAAAGATCCATAAGATCCTGTGAATTCATTCAAAGGATCCTTGTTTGGAGATCCTGTCACTTCCGCGTTTTCCAGGATCCGTCTATAGGCAGGATCACAGAGATGCAACTTCCGCGTTCTTGCATACAGATCATTCCTTTCAATCCTTGTTTAGAGATCTAGTGAATCTTGTCTAATTGGTGGTATACCTACCCCCCCTGAAAAATATGAGTTCGTCAGATTGGATCATCATCCCAACTAGTGGGGAAAATAAAAGTCATGTTCCAAACCACCAACCAGTTGTGAGTTTACTTTGCCCAAATCGCTGAAGTTTGAAGTCTTGCTCCGTGGCTATCCCGATCCCGAACTATCCGTTTAAGACCCAGAAAATAGCCATGAAGAACCAGAAAATGATGATAAATCTGGGTAAATTATAATATTTCACCAACTTGAATTAAGGCCTCACATGGGGATGATTTCCCTTATAAGCCATGATTCCAGGGTTCGGGAGAACAGTGAGGTCGTGATGAAATTTACCCAGATAAATGGCTGATAAAATACCCCGAAAATACCCATTTGAAGGAGGACAATGATGATAAAATGATGATAAATGTGTGATCAAATACATAGGTAAAATAGCCATGATCACTGATCACCCAAACCAATCATCATTCACCCATTGTATCATACCCAAAATATCCATGAAAATAGCCATCATGAGACTTTGGGGGTACCCAATTCTGACCAAGGCACGTCTACCACACGTCGACACATGGCATTTTGCCGGGCACCGCTGTGGCGCTGCACCGAACTGTGCAAGCAAAAGTGCCTCACGACCGGAACATGGCCTAGACACAGGGGCACTGAAACAACCAGCATCACAAGATAACACAAGAAATCATACAGCTTTATTAGAGCTACAAACCCCTACAAAATAGCTTTATTAGAGCTACAAACCCCTACAAAATAGCTTTATTAGAGCTACAAGCCCCTACAAAATAGCTTTATTAGAGCTACAAACCCCTACAAAATAGCTTTATTAGAGCTACAAACCCCTACAAAATAGCTTTATTAGAGCTACAAACCCCTACAAAATAGCTTTATTAGAGCTACAAACCCCTACAAAATAGTTTTATTAGAACTACACCGTTGCTTCATTGTTGCAACATACTCAACATACCTCTATGGGAGAGTATCATAGGTGAATGGAGTACAATTATGTCAATTTTTTGTGAAATGTGTATCAGTGGTGCCATATCCGGTTTGCATCCAGCATCACAAAGGGGTCAAGTTGAATCTGAACAATGGCGAGCTAGTCTGGGGCGTCCTTCTTTTCAACGTAACGGGCATCTCAAATGGGAAACCGCCAGTCAACCATCTCAAATTATTGCATCTGATAGATGGTTCACTTACAAGTTTATGAAATAGCCGTTTAGATGTTTGTACCTATGGATTTAAAGAGCCCCGTTTTTAGAGGCTCTTTTTTTGGACGGACGCTGTAAGCCTTCCTCAGTACAGCTGAGGGCCTGGCTGTCGTGAGCCCAGCATTACACCTCAGGATCACGGCGACTCGAAATGAGCGGCCTGAAGATTTAAGTTAAAATGGCACGGCCATTTTAAGGCCGAGATCATGATTCATGACAACCGAGATTGCCTGATTCATATGGGGTTTTATGGGATTTAATGGGATTTACCCTCTGGTAAACGTTTACAAAAAAAGCATGGAAAGATCCACCATGCTATTAATGGGTATATCCACTATTTCTATCACTATTTTCTATGTCGCAAACTGTTAGTCATTTCCAGAGGGTATGTGTGTATATATGTCTGGGTAAGTTATAATATTTCACTCATCTGAATTAAGGCCTTACATGGGGATGATTTCCCTAACATAAACCATGATTCCAGGGTTCGGGAGAACAGTAAGGTCGTGATCAAATTTACCCAGATATATATATATATATATTCATTTACCAGAGGGTATGTGTATATGTATATATATATATTGTACAATCGTTGGCAATTCTTGGAAATTCAACTCATTTCTGCCGTATTTTTCATGATTTTCACGACTCTTCGGACCTCCATCCTTGTGTCAGTTGGATCCCCAATAGTTGGATGGTAAAGTCATGGAAAGTCATGGAAAGTCATGGAAAGTCCTATGAATCAATGGATGAAAAAAGGGGGTACCCCGGTAGCCCCATAAAAATCTCCAAGATGCTGAATGGTTTGTAGCTCGTAGCCTTCAACTCTTTCATCACCTGCCGCTGTGAGCTGGGATCTTTGGGCGCCACAATCATGGCTTCAATCATCTTGGTTGGTGGTTGAGCTCGCCCTACCCCTCTGAAAAATGATGGAGTTAATATGAGTTCGTCAGTTGGGATGATGAAATTCCCAATACCCTCTGGTTATGACTAACATAGCCATGGTAAATCACCATGCTATTAATAGGTAAACCATCTATAAATGGGCCTTTTTCCCATGGCTATGTTAAATAACCAGAGGGTATATGGAAAAACAAAATTCATGTTCCAAACCACCAGTATCTGTATCTACTGTTGGATTTCAGCCACGCCAACAGCTTTAGATCTTCACCCTGGGCTTTGCCTCCCAACAACTCCAATTTTTGCGGGGAAACAACAGCTTCTCCCCGATGGACGGAGGAAAAAAAGACATTAAAAAAAATATCACCACATGCACCAAATAATATGAAATAAAAACTGTACGAAATACTCTATGAAATATCATCTAATATGCAAAAAAACGATATGCTAGCGAGTATTTTAACATATGTTAACTGTAAATGGAGCATGTACACAAAATCTTTCAAATATCTGCATTACTTGACGACATTCCACTGACATTCCCAACCTTCGGCAACTTAAGTAACACCCCACCTGCTTTAGCTGAGTGTGGGTCCTTGTGACAGTTTTTCGTGCGCGGCAGGAGATGGTTCATGTGGTGGATTACCATCTGGTTATTTAACATAGCCATGGTAAATCACCATGCTATTAATAGGTAAACCATCTATAAATGGGCCTTTTTCCCATGGCTATGTTAAATAACCAGATGGTATTACTTCATTGCTCAAGTGGGGACTTCAATAAAAATAAAACTGGGAAATGGACGGAAATGGGGTATGCGCAAAAGTCACGATGTTGACAAGGTAATAAAGCGAGACACGTCCGTCGCTGGCTCGCACCACTGGTTGCCGCTGCGGCTGTGCATTCCCTGAGATTCCAAGCCTTCGCAAAAATCATCGCACTTGCTGAGTACTGATGGTCCAAATAAAGGCTTACTGGTGCGTTTGCTTAGCAGGGAATGGATGGGTCGTACGGGGGTTGCTGGGATTATGAAATTACTAGTGATGGCTGGGAGCATTCCCGGAAATTCCCTACTAAGCACCAGTAAGAAGGTGCCAACTGGACCCGTAAGAGGGCAGGGTCCTCCTGATATTGGCGCATCTGTCGTGAAATCGCGTATCGGCTGGGCTGCAGCTAACATAGTAACTGAGCCACTGATTTAATGTATAGAGGCTTCCTGAAATAGGGGTACCCCCAATTCATCCATTTTAGTAGGATGTTCCATTATAAACCATGCAGCTATTGGGGTACCTCCATTTATGGAAACCCCCATATGTTTGACAACATTTATCAACCAACAGTTTGCGGCGCTTGCCCGGTGTCACATCGAGTGTGTGACTTTGGCGCAGGCGAAACGAGCACGCTCTTGAGGTACAAACGCAAGCAAATCTCTTCAAAGTATTTTTAACCAGCGAATTGGTCTAGAGTCTAGTGACTAGACATCAAATGAAGTATTTCAAGATTATTTATATATTTGTACAAACAGCTTCGGAATGTTCCAGAATCGATACGCTTTCCACCTTCCAATTTGAATCCGTTTGATGACATGCACTCCTACTAACGTAACGTACTAACCTTCACTTGAAGACTCTCAATATGTCTGAAAAGGATCAACTTTCCAATGCTTCAGCAAGTGAAACCCCACTTTTTGCAGCAAGGCATTGTCCGTACTCCGCCCGCACGGTCCTGCTGGAATAGAAAATCCGTGGGACCTGTAGAGCTCCCTTACCTTCAGCCTGCGCCTCCCAGCTTGTCTTGGCTGCTTCCACTACCTGACGTTGATCGAAACAAGTGTGCAAAACTGCTTAAAGCTTTCAGTCATGTAATGTATACATACGTAGCAAGGGTGTCTGTGTAAATATAAAGTGTATATATATATACACATAAAAGAATATATGTATATATATGTATTTATTTATGTGTTTGTTTATTTATCTATTTATGTTTATTTGTTTTTTCAATACAAATACATGCATATCATATGTCTGTGTTATCTAAAGTTTATCAATGTTTCATACACATACATAAAAGTACATGCATGCATTACATCACATTCCATTACATTTTGTTCCATTCATTCCATTACGTTAATAAAACATATGTATGTATATATATATATATGTAGGTTTCCTAAAATGGGGTTACCCCCAAATCATCCATCTCAATAAGATTTTCCATTATAAACCATCCAGCTATTGGGGTTCCTCTTCGCGTGAAAACAGGGCGTGAGTTTTCAGTACCTGCTTCCTGTTTCAAAGGGCAGCCGGACATCCGGAAGCTTAAGCAATGATACGGGTCCAGGCAGTGTTGCTTAGCTGGAGAGCCAAACAGTTAGCTGATGAGTAAATAGTGGTTTAGTACATCAGTACATCCAAAAGGAAACGCATCCTCAAGTGTCCACAACTCCCATTCCCCATTTGGAGTCTCAGATTTCTTAGCTTACCATACTTCACCTCTATCATCAAATACTCGCTGGTAAACTAACAGAGCTATGGAAAAAAAAGACTATTTTGATAGGTAAATATAGGTAAATCAACTACCTATGGACCATTTTCTATAGCTGCATGAGTTTACCAGAGGGTATCAGCCGGAGATTTGAACCTGTTGCCGATGCCGTCGCCACCCTAGGCTAGCACAAAGGAGGCACAGCCTCGGTTTTTCAGCCAAGTCTTCAGCTTGACCAGGGACCCCAGCTTTGAAGGACGCCACTCCCATTTCACTATGGTTTATGGCAGATATAACGATAGTATTCATGGGGTTTATAAACCAACAAACATCACTGGGGGGCACTATGGCAATATGGCAACCAGTGGCGGGCAACCATCTACAATCGCACTGTGATTTGACCCTGTTTGGTTGAGATGTGAGCAACGAATGACTGCAACGAATGACGACTGCAAATAACGGCCCAGTTCCAAACGTAACCAGAGACACATTTTGCAAATACAAACAGGGTACTTGCGGTAAATCTGCATCAGAATCTTCATATGAATTGAGTGGACCAAAATATCCCCCAGATTGTTTCGGAAGCTGTATATACTGTATATCTATCGTCTGAAATTTCAGCCATCTAGTTTCAGTGCGAGCTCTTCAAATTTCAGCCATTCAGCCATTCACATTCCCTTCAAGTTTAAGTCATCCCCTTCAGTTCTCAGGCTCTGCGCATATCTAAAGAGTCAATTCTAATATGTTCCAATGGCCGGAGATCTAGCGGGTCCAGCATGACATTTTGGCCCAGAGACGTCTTTCCAGTGCCCGTGGGTGACTCCAACAAAGCATTCCTCAGGTCATGGATGATTCTCAACAACAAACTTTCACTAATCTTCTAGATTGGTTTTCTTCCCTGTTGGAGAAATTTGAACAATAGTTACCCAGATCCATGTTTCACAATAATGAGAGTCACCATGAAAATACTATGAAGATCAAAAGTCAAATCTCTTCACGAACAGAGACAGCTTAAAAATACACACAAAAACAACTGAGCCACCAAGCATTCAGAAACATATATAGCATATAATAATAGATGTATCTAGAATGACAAAAAATGTCGGTCCAAACTTCAGCTTTCGAAAAAATGAAGTCTTCAGAAACGTCCGAGATTCTCTCCATTTTCGAGACTGCGGACGACGGCACGCATATATTCCAACTGGCAGTCGTAGGCCTGATGTCAGGTGACCCAACCTCTGATGATCCAGTTGAAACCTCCCGATGATGACATGGCGGTTAAAAAGCACCCCAAAAACGCCCCAGTTCGATGATGACTTTTAGATGTTTAATGATACATTGATGATACATACAAATATGATTTATGTAGTCATTATAATATATATATATAGAGATAGTTCATATCATATACATATATATACACTGTATACACAGGTGTCTAATATGAATTGCCAAACAATTCAACGAGTGTCCATGAAGTGAAGGACGGGCGCCTTGGCCGATGGCCAAGATCAACAACGATGGAGATATCATCTGGTTTTTGGCATGGGGATATACCCGGCCTGGTAAACGTTTACATAGCTATGGAAAGATCCATCATGCTATCAATGGGAAAATCCACTATAAATCACCATTTTCAATAGCTATGTTAAATTACCAGAGGGTAGCATGGGGATAAAGCAGGGGATATTCGAAGAGACCTGGAAGTGTTTTCATACTGACAAGCTGTTTTCAGTAAAGAAGATGAAATCACAGTTGAAAACTGCTTGAGCGTCATATGTCTGTGCCGTACATGCAATACATTGCGATTCAGTACACAATCTGCTCGGCTGGGACAAATGTTTTTGGAGACATCCCCCACTTCGCAATCCAAAAGACATCAACACAATTGACATTTGTCAGCTCAACGGAGTTTTGTTTGGCTCCTGACCCGAAAACTGACTCCATTTTAGTGAAATGTGTCATCGATTCATCCGTTACTCTTATCTTTGCTCGTTCACATGTGCCCATGGACTTCTGCAGTGTATCCATTGCAGGTGTCTGTGAGCACATCACTCACATGCTATTTCAGGGAATTGGTTGGCTTGGTCTGCAATATGCATAATATGCTAGCGTGTAGCTGTCATATGTTGTGATAACTCAGACTCATAAATTCACCTCAAAAATTGGTGAAGGCCTGCTTGGCAAACATCTGACACGTGAAGATTGGGAAGCCACTCTTCAACCGATCTCTAAAATGTGACGCTCGGAAGCCTCATAGGGAAACTCGACCAGCACTCCATCAATGTTATACGAAGGCATTGCGGTTGTCACAAGTTCAAATGGGGCACTGTGTGAAAAACTGCCTGGTCAGTTGAATGGGATTCCCAGGTCATGGATGATGATAGTCCCCAGAATGTATTCATTTAGTCCCCAAACTTACCCTCTGGTAAACTAACATAGCTATTGAAAATTGCCATAGAAATAGTGGATCCCATTAAAAATGGTGGATCTTTCCATAGTTACGTTAGTTTACCAGAGGGTATCATTAACCAACAGTGGTGTTGAGCGAAGATGATCCATGCAGTGAATTGCTGAAAAAAAGCTCCAGATCAAATCTAAAGCCAGTTTCAGGTTCTGCGAAATTTCATAACAGTCAGATGATGATGAATTTTAACTAGGTCATGCATAATTTAACAATTTTTTTTTACACGGGTTTAATTCATTCATGGATATTTCATAGATATCTCATAGATATGTCATAGATATTTCATAGATATTTCATCACATTTCAGCCCACAATTTTGCATGACCTTTCTTTCGCTTGATTTGTGTACTGCAGATTCGATCCGGTCACATGGAGCTTTGCGTCGCCAAAAATGGCTGGGAAATCCCTTAGGGAACATGTAACTGGGGGGATGTTCCATTGCTGAGTTTCATTGGATAGCATATGTATATATATATATATATATCATCTCATGTAGAAAATTGATGCCATGATGTCATTTAATATAGTTTAATAGTGGTTGAAAGTTGAAACCTTATGATGGTGTTGGAGTGTTCCTTGTCCAGAATCATATCTACTGTACCCTCACCTAGTTCATGTGAAAACACCACGTTGTGCCCTTGTAAAAGTGTCCTTGGACAAGATAAACATACACTTGTCTGTTCAAAGTTGGCAGCATCTAGTCAACAATGCAGTTTCATCGAAATGATGATACTATGATATACCCTCTGGTAATTTAACATAGCTATTGAAAATGGCCATTTATAGTGGATTTACCCATTAAAAATTGTGATTTTCCATACTTATGTTAGTTTACCAGAGGGTATCGCCACTGGAGCTGCTGTAAGTTCTGTAAAATAGAATAGGAGATACCCGAATCTATATCCTGGGACATACAATTGGACATAGCTCTGACGGCAATCCTCCAATGCCCATGATGTTGAATCTGTTTGCTATCTTCCATGTGACATGAAGATACCATGTCACAAGTAAGTTGTGTTTTGGTGTCGAATGTCCACCCTTTCGCATAAGCTACGTGCTGTGACTTTAAAAATCCATGGCGACAAAGGTTTTCTGTGAAACTAATGGGATGAATCGACGAATTTTTCTGTGATCGGAAACACAATAAATGTCAACCCTGGACTAATAAACCCCGTTTACGGCTGTTTAATATTGGGAGGGTACCATAAAAAAGTATTAGATTATGACTATTGGAGTAGTAACCCCCTAATTAATAAACCATGGTTTAGCAAAATCCGGGGTTGACATGAATGAGCAGGCAAGACATCGAAAGACCACAGGTACAATAGAAGGACAATGCTGGATGTTTTTGAGGTCAAATGACCCAAAAATGCCACCCAAGAGCGGCTCTCTAATGTTTACCTTTTTTATTAATGAGTTGGAGCAACCCTGGAAATCAGCACTCTGAAATATGACAAATATGGTCACTGGCCATCTCGAAAATCGATTCATTGGAGGTACCTACCTCTATATATAAGGCCTATTTTTTTGGCCTAAATTTCAGGGTATATCCCCAGAAAATATGGTCATTGAAATTCCCATTGATATGGTCATTCTGCAAGCGGTTACCCTCACAAAGCACCACGCTTACCACACGTGACTTGAGCGACGTCGCGATGATTTCGTGATTAAAGAAAAATCGGCGCTCGTCGCTGCTCGAGTTGTGAACAAAGGATGCCAGGGACAAATTGCACATTTTTTCGTATCACCAACTGATAAATAGGTGCAGTAACCATCAATAATGGAGATTGATGGCTTAATTGGGATATGATATAATCTCCTCAACTTGTTTGATGTAGTCACAATTTCGCATCAGGCAAGTTTGCAGAGATATATCATGCTATATCACATGTATCTGTGAGACTTCGGATTCACCCAAATTCCGAAAAAAAATGGCGCTTCTTTTGAAGCTCTCCGCAGTGGATACCGATGTCAGCAAAGCCTGCTGCCCAGCTGACATGGCTTTTGTAAGATCTGAGAGATTTCTAAGATTTCTAAGCGCTGGCCGTGGCACATTGGGCGTTGGCCACATATCGGCGCAAAATCGGGTCGACGACTCGTCGAAAGTCGTGTTCCTCAGGGGGAGGGTACCCTCCGGTCATCAAACAGGCCGGAAATCATCTGTTTACCTCCATTCGCCATATTATTGGCATATGATTTACCATGATTTACCATTAATATATCAAAATCCCATGATAAGTATCGGAAATCCTCTGTTTACCTGCATTTGCAAATGATTTTCCCACAAAAACTTTCATTTATATCAGACTTTCCTCCCGCCATGTCTTCAGGGTATACTGATACTGTACCAAAAAAAATTGGGCGAACGCAGTCTTCGATCTGTGCAGAATCATCCCATATACGTAGCTTCTCGCCATCTCTATCCGTCTCCGAATCTTGCCCAAATGTTCTACTGGTTGGTGGTATACCTACCCCTCTGAAAAATGATGGAGTTCGTCAGTTGGGATGATGAAATTCCCAACTGTTTCTGGAAAGTCATTCAAAATTCCTTGGTTCCAAACCACCAACCAGTCTACCATTTCTATCCCTTTTTCTGTGGTTTCTTCGATCAACAACCGAGGATGAGGATGAATTCTACTGGAAACTCATCCGGATGATTCTGCGGATTTTCACCCAAAAACTGGTTACAGTACCCATGGAGGTTTCCATGGTCATGGGGGTATCCCCAAATGGATTGTTTTTTTCATGGAAAATACATGAAAATACCATTATAATCCATTATAATCCATTATCAAAGGAAGTTTAGGGGGAGAAACTTCCGTGTTACGGACTTTTAGAATGTCAGGGAAAGAGTTAGCAAAGAAACAGTTAGTCAGGGAAAGAGTTAGTCAAAGAAAGAGTTAGTGAGGGAAAGAGTTAGTCAAAGAAAGAGTTAGCAAAGAAAGAGTTAGGCAGGGAAAGAGTTAGTCAAAGAAAGAGTTAGTGAGGGAAAGAGTTAGTCAAAGAAAGAGTTAGTCAGGGAAAGAGTTAGTCAAAGAAAGAGTCAGTGAGGGAAAGAGTTAGTCAAAGAAAGAGTTAGTGAGGGAAAGAGTCAGTCAAAGAAAGAGTTAGTGAGGGAAAGAGTTAGTCAAAGAAAGAGTTAGTCAGGATATATGAGGTAGTCAAAGAAAGAGTTTGCAAATAAACAAATTAGTCAAAGAAAGAGTTAGTGAGGAAAAGAGTTAGTCACAGAAAGAGTTAGCAAAGAAATTGTTCCCTCACTGTAAATGGCATTGCAAGTGGTGCTGGTGGAGGAGTTGCCGATGGAGTTTTGGAGGAAGTCTCGCACGAAATGCGTTTTTGAGAGATAGCAGACACACGAAACCCTATGTTTTTCCATACAAAGTCCGTCCCCGAACCTCGATGATCTACCTCTGCGGTGCGACGGTTGCGAGACGGTCTCGTATGTGGTCGGATCATGCTCGGATCATGGGCGGATCATGCTCGGATCGGTTCCGAATTGTAAATGGGGTTTCAACTGTTTTTCGTGCATGTGCGGTCGACAGAATTCCATTGTGATTTGCAACTGTAGGATCGTTCCCGCATTGTAAATGGGGTTGCAAGTGGCGCTGGTGGAGGAGTTGCCGATGGAATTCCATTGTGATTTGCAACTCTAGGATCGTTCCCTCACTGTAAATGGGGTTGCAAGTGGTGCTGGTGGAGGAGTTGCCGATGGAATTCCATTGTGATTTGCAACTCTAGGATCGTTCCCTCACTGCAAATGGGATTGCAAGTGGTGCTGGTGGAGGAGTTGCCGATGGAGTTTTGGAGGAAGTCTCGCACAAAATGCGTTTTTGAGAGATAGCAGATGCACGAAACCCTATGTTTTTCCATACAAAGTCCGTCCCCGAACCTCGATGATCTACCTCTGCGGTGCGACGGGTGCGAGACGGTCTCGTGTGTGGTCGGATCATGGTCGGATATGCTCGGATCATGGTCGGATCATGGTCGGATCGGTTCTGCATTGTAAATGGGGTTTCAACTGTTTTTCGTGCATGTGTGGTCGACAGAATTCCATTGTGATTTGCAACTGTAGAATCGTTCCCGCATTGTAAATGGGGTTGCAAGTGGTGCTTGTGGATGAGTTGCCGATGGAATTCCATTGTGATTTGCAACTCTAGGATCGTTCCCTCACTGTAAATGGGATTGCAAGTGGTGCTGGTGGAGGAGTTGCCGATAGAGTTTTGGAGGAAGTCTCGCACGAAATGCGTTTTTGAGAGATAGCAGATGCACGAAACCCTATGTTTTTCCATACAAAGTGCGTCCCCGAACCTCGATGATCTACCTCTGCGGTGCGACGGGTGCGAGACGGTCTCGTGTGTGGTCGGATCATGCTCGGATCATGTTCGGATCGGTTCCGCATTGTAAATGGGGTTTCACCTGTGTTTCGTGCATGTGAGGTCGACAGAATTCCATTGTGATTTGCAACTGTAGGATCGTTCCCGCATTGTAAATGGGGTTGCAAGTGGTGCTGGTGGATGAGTTGCCGATGGAATTCCATTGTGAGTTGCAACTCTAGGATCGTTCCCTCACTGTAAATGGGATTGCAAGTGGTGCTGGTGGAGGAGTTGCCGATGGAATTCCATTGTGATTTGCAACTGTAGGATCGTTCCCGCAATGCAAATGGCATTGCAAGTGGTGCTGGTGGAGGAGTTGCCGATGGAATTCCATTGTGCTTTGCAACTGTAGGATCGTTCCCGCAATGTCTAGAAGGTTTCACGTGCTTCGGTGGACGAGCTGAGGACGTAATACCAATGTGTTTTGCTAGGGATTGTTCCTGGATTCTTTCAGATTTTGCCTGCTTTCATTTTCTATTTCAATTCTTCATAAAAAACGATGCAAAAATCAACTTTTTCTGCTCTGGCGTCGAGATCCGGTTTTGGAGCTACAATTTCCGACGCCGTTGCGCATAGTTCTATTGTGTTTTGCAACTCAGTCTCTGCAGATCGCATTGTAATGGCTGCGTCAAGGTTGCTGCATGCTGTGGCTGCATTCGTAATACCTTTGCAGCTGGATCTCGTAAATCGTATTGGAGTGGCTGCATGAAGGCTGCGACATGGATTTGTTAGCAGATTTTCTCCATTTTGGCGCTAGCGATTTTCCTTCTAAAAATCCTTTTAAAAAGTGCTTCAAAATCGTCTTTTTTTCGCTCTGGCGTCGAGATCCGGTTTTGGAGCTACAATTTCCGACGCCGTTGCGCGTAGGTCTATTGCGTTTTGCAACTGAGTCTCTGCAGATCGCATTGCAATGGCTGCGTCAAGGTTGCTTCGTGCTGTGGCTGCATTCGTAATACTATTGTCTTTTGCAGCTGGACTTCGTAAATCGTATTGGAGTGGCTGTATGCGCCACAGTGATTTGTCAGCAGATTTTCTCCATTTTGGCGTCAGTGATTTTCCTTCTTCTAAAAATCCTTTCAAAAAGTGCTTCAAAATCGTCTTGCACAACAACAGTACGTGGTTGGACGACAAAGAGTCGGACGACGAAGTTCTCCGCAGACAATACCGTCATCTCTGGGAAGCTGTGCGGTCCTTTCAACCAGAGTTTGTTGATGCTGAGATGAAGCGCAGACAAGGTCTTGCCGCAGAGGTTTCAACTCTCGTTTGACTGCCGAGGGCTGGGTGTGCGTTGTTATGAACCGCATCCGGGTGTGAATTGCTGTGCTTCAGTAGCTTCGCCTTTCATTTGACCTTGCGAACCGCAGAATGCCTCTGTCACTTGGTTTTGGTTTCTGTGTGCGTTGTTACGAACCGCACAAAAAACCATGATCGTATTGCATACATGTGAAAAAAACATGGTGTCGTGGGAGCGGGTAAATGCAAGGTCCCACTAAGATCCGCTCAATGCTTTATGCAGCATGGGTTGGATTTTTGTACTTCGTTGAAAGTATGATTTTCTGGACCATTTCCTTTTCCGGACATCAGACCTCAAGCTGGGTGAGATGGTATGTTTCGTGTTTATTTGACCTCTGTTGAATGAGATGGTTGGTTGGGGATCTACAATTTGGATGAGGAAGTGCGTTTCGTATTTCTTGGACCCTAGTTGGTACGTGTAATTGTTTCTTTACTTCGACTATGGGGAATTTCGATCTGTTATATTCACCCTATGATGTTGTCTGGTAGCGGTTGTGTAGTTTCAGCTCTGCAACGTTGCCGCTGCCGTTTGTGTCGGTCATGCATATGTGATCAAATCTATCAGCAAGACCTAAATCATATTATGTCATGTTTTGAATCATCACATGTTTTTTTTAACGCGTGCATCATGGAGTTTGCAAGGGACACCCGACGTGCGACGTTACGGTCCGCGTTGGCTAACATATGTGTAGCAGCATGTTGGATATAGGTGGAAAAATAATTTTCGTAAGTATTGTTGAGTGATTACATCGATTCGGTGAGAAAACGATCATATATAGCAAGCATGCAACGTAGCTATCATATATAGCAGGTACACGATGTCAACAAACAGCACGCATGGACACGATACAACCTTGCAACTGCGTATACTCGCAACGCCACCATAGCAACGTCAATTCCTCCCGGAACTGGACGTGCGAAGTTGTGTTCCGCGTCCAGCATGGTCGAGACGGCGCTGGAGAGTCAGACAAGCACGGCGGCAAGTGTGCAGCCACCTGTGGTGAATGACTAGAACGCCAAAAGTTCAGATTGGGGCCATTGGAGAAAGCCGAAGTCTCTGGTACGCTTTGCGTCGCCACAGAACCGAAGCTCAGTGCGCAGAATGGCTCAACATCTTGCACAGCAACAGTACGTGGTATTGCCGCAGAGGGATCAATTCTCGTTTGACTGCCGAGGGCTGGGTGTGCGTTGTTGTGAACCGCATCCGAGTCTGAATTGCTGTGCTTCAGTAGCTTCGCCTTTCATTTCGAGTTGCAGACGGCAGAATGCCTGTGTCACTTCATTTTCGTTTCTGTGTGCGTTGTTACGAACCACACAAGAAACCATGATCGTATTGCATACATGTGACAAAAAAAAGGATCTTTCAGATTTTGGCTGCTTTCATTTTCTATTTCACATCAACTTTTTCTGCTCTGGCGTTGAAGTGTGAAGGAAGCAGTGGAAGTGTGAAGTGTGAAGTGTGAAGGAAGCAGTGGGAAGTGAAAAGTGTGAAGTGTGGAGTGTGAAATTTCAGTTTGGAGTGCGAAGAGCGCAGTGTGAAGTGTGAAGTGTGAAGTGTGAGGTTTGGAGTGTGAAGGAAGCAGTGAGAAGTGAGAAGTGTGAAGTGTGGAGTGTGAAGAAGTGGAGTGAAGTGTGAAGTGTGAAGTGTGAAGTGTGAGGTTTGGAGTGTGAAGGAAGCAGTGAGTGTGAAGTGTGAAGTGTGGAGTGTGAAGTTTAAGTTTGGAGTGCGAAGAGCGCAGTGTGAAGTGTGAAGTGTGAGGTTTGGAGTGTGAAGGAAGCAGTGAGAAGTGTGAAAGTGTGAAGTGTGAAGTGTGGAGTGTGAAGTGTGAAGTGTGAAGTGTGAAGTGTGAGGTTTGGAGTGTGAAGGAAGCAGTGAGAAGTGAGAAGTGTGAAGTGTGAAGTGTGTGAAGTGTGAAGTGTGAAGTGTGGAGTGTGAAGTTTCAGTTTGGAGTGCGAAGAGCGCAGTGTGAAGTGTGAAGTGTGAGGTTTGGAGTGTGAAGGGAGAAGTGAGAAATGAGAGTGTGAAGTGTGAAGTGTGAGTGAAGTGAGAAGTGTGAAGTGTGAAGTGTGAGTGAAGTGCGAAGTGAGAAGTGTGAAGTGTGAAGTTTGGAGTGAGAAGTGTTAAGTTTGGAGTGTGAAGGAAGCAGTGAGAAGTGTGGACTGTGAAGTGTGCAGTGTGAGGTGTGAAGTGTGAAGTGTGAGGTTTGGAGTGTGAAGGAAGCAGTGAGAAGTGAGAAGTTTGGAGTGCGAAGAGTGCAGTGTGCAGTGTGAGGTGTGGAGTGTCGAGGGAAGGACACGGTCGGGACAGGGTGTCTTTGAACTATAGGTCATTTATGTTTGGGAAACTTCCGCCGCCGGCTTGCCCGGGTCTATGTTAAATCTCCCAGATGCACCTTAAAGGGATGGGAAAATTGCAGTTCCACCCAAGAAAAACAGCCTAAAATTTGGCTAACAAAACCAAGAAGCAGATTGAGTCGCCTGCTGTCCGAAGTGTCCATCGACATATCCAGTGAAGATGCCACGGGTTTCGAACTCATAGTACAAGACATACCTGCCATGGGCGCCTGGTGAGAAACAAAAAAAAATTGAAACACCTAAGAGGGGCCGAAAAAGTGCTTGGAATTTTTTGGGCCTTTTTGTTTACACCCAAGTACCAGAATGATCAGAATGGCTATCAGGTAAAATCAGGTAAAATAACTTAAATTGTAATTTTCATGTCTAAACAGTCTAAATAGTCTCAATACATTTTCATCCAAAAGGGCTCTAAATAGTCAAAATTCTGCCGATATGTTTATCGGCCACCGGTGATTGTCCACCTGTCTTCTTCACCACGATGTTCGACGGCACGATGATCTACGAAGGAATCGTAGAGCATGATGGATCCATGTGGGATGTTGGTCACCTGGCGACAGCCCTGCGACGGAACATTCCTTGAAGATGGCCTTGAGAAATAGCCATGAAATCAAAAAAACACCATTTGAAGACATGAAAATGTATGGAGAATGATGATTCACAAGTAGATGGAACGATTTTTTAGACATTTGGAGGTGATGTTCATTGATTTTCACACAAACCCATGTAATCTCAGTAGTCTCATATTGCCCAAAAACAGCACCGCAACTCACCAAGTGTATTGTTGGGTGTCATCAAAAGCCTGTTGACCGGCGACCAGGAACTCTCCAAGGGAACGATGCTACGGGTGGCCAGGGAACTGGTGAAATTAGCGAATACCCTGAACTAACACGAGCCAATACTACCCTCTGGTAAACTAACATAACTATGGAAAATCACCATTTTCAATGGGTAAATCCACTATAAATGGCCATTTTCAATAACTATGTTAAATTACCAGAGGGTAACACAGACTTATCAGACTTACACCTCTTTGTGAAGCTAACCGAATGCTAACGTGGATTTGACGTAGGGATACTTTGGTTGTTCATGCTTCACAGTTCACACTGATATCACAGTTCGGGGGCACATTGGAGGCTCGCTTTTTTGCCTCCAAGTGACCACTTCATATCCAGGGCTGTTCATAACATGTGACCCGGGTCGAAGTGCTAAAGGGCCATTGTTTGCAGACAGCGGCGTCAGGGGGACACCAATTGTGAGCTGCGCAAAAGGGCCAGGAAGAATGATGTCCTCAGACGTGGCAAAGACGTGGTAATATGATGTAATATGTGGCTTTTGGTGGTAATTTACTGCTGAACATCCCAAATAAATATCAGAAGAGAATACTCCCAGTTTCTGGCATTTTCTGGACTTTGACCCACTTTTTGTTCGTGGATGTGTCCCATCTTTTTTCATCGCCTTTGAAGCATCGTTCATCCCATGGTCGTCCCAAAGATCGCCCCATTTTTCAAATCCGTGTCTCCCGGTGTCGGGTCATCAAGGGCGATTGCGGAGGCGTCTTGGTGATCATCACCCTACCCAGCCAGGGGCCCAGCTCATCAGGGGCGCCCACATTCGTACAACCATGAGGTGGATCTGTGGCTAAGGGCCCTCAGGGCGACGTCTACAGGGTGGTGACAAAAGCCTCTGGTCATTTTATGTCATTTTTGGCTGCCAAATAGAGGTTGGAAGATGAGTTGAAAAACTAAAAATGGGCTATAAACTATTTACTGAAAGAAAACCACTGGAGTTGGCCAAGACTTCTTGTGACGATTTGACTTTGGGCACCGACGCACCCAGAAAAAAAGTGGGGAAGCCAGCAAAGTGTTGAGCCCTTCCAATCTACTGTGATATGAAAGAACCATAGAGAAGATTGAAGGAAAAAAAACATTGAAAAAAAAACACCACCATACAGACTTCGTATACAAGTCTGTATACAACTCTGTGATTCAAATCTATGACTCAGTCAGACTAGCTCCTTGTTCCTGGAGATATCTGGAGATATCTGGAGATCCATGGGATACCCTCTGGCAAACTAACAGTTTGCTATTGAAGCCATGGCCCAGTCGATTTATAGTGGATGAATCCCCATTTTCATAGCATGGTGGATCTTTCCAGTTCGTTACGTAAACGTTTACCAGAGGGTATCATCTTTCATCATCTTTCAACATCTTTCAACATCCAAATCGGACTCCAAATCCATCCTTTAAAACCGGAAACCGGTGACGCCTCCTTGCGGAGGCACGGAATGGAACCATTCGACGGAGGAGCCCTGCATCACCCATTGACACCAAGCTGATTGTTGCTCCTCCTCTGATCGTCCACAGGCCATGTTGTTGATCACATACCTGCAGAAAAAAATAGGCTGAAAAACCCGTGAGAAATTCATGTCATTCATGTCATTCATCACCTGAAGTACACCTCAAACAGACCTGAATCCTCAATGATTATTGTTTTTTTGTTCCATTGATAGTTTCTCAAAAACCTGGACGCTGAATAATCTGAATAGAATTCTGCCGAAGGCTTTGATGCTTTGATCACATCTAGATTAGAGTTTCAAATACATGTCCCCTGAGACATGCGCTTCCATTCATCTGTTCTAGCCGTTAACCTTCATGAAATCCATCATTTTCAGGCCCCAATTGGTACAGCCATCAATTGGCGCCCATGATAGGCTTGGCCAAGTTCAGCTCCCTGGCGCCTAGCAGTCACCTGCAGGACTAAGTCGTTGGGCACCAACCATTCGGCAGACCAGGGATCCTCATACGGTACATGCACCTGGAGTCGACCGGGCCCTGAGAGAGTCAACAGCGATAACTATCTGAGTAAATTATCATATTTCACTCATCTGAATTAAGGCCTCACATGGAGAGGATTTCCCTTACTAACCATGATTCCAGGCTTCGGGAGAACACAGAGTTGGGTCGTTATTCAATTTGCCCAGACCTATGGAACATAAAGAGAAACGCCATAGCCACCGCAAACATGGCTGGAGATATCCGAAACTTCCCATGTTTCTTCTCCAAAAGGTTCACCCAAAAAGTTGGCAGATTTTTCTTCGGATGTTGCGGACAATTACTCACGATATATCACGATAAAATATCTCTCTTCAAGAAGCATAAATCAGCATAAACATTTAAGAACTCGGATGATGCCTTAAGATTCTAACTATTTCAGATGGGGATGGGTCAAAACCCTGGTACCTAGTGAACCCCAAAATAGCTGGTAAATGGATGTTCATCCCACTAAAAATGTATCTATAGGTATTGATCCATACCCAGATTTGTTCAAAAGAAAACTGAGCAAAATCCACAGCTACGATCGGATCCCCACCCCTCAAGCATTCCATTACGAACACGGCCGCCTGCGAACGATCCGCACGTAGAGGCGAAGTGAAGTAACCCTCTGGTAGCTGCCTGGGGTGGTCCCCAAAATACTGATGAGTTGGGATTTCCATAATCCCCTGAAAGATTGGTGTTGATTACCCTCTGGTAAACGTTTACATAGCTATGGAAAATCAACATGTTTAATGGGTAATTCAACTATTTCTATCGGCATTTTCAATAGCTATGTTAAATTTCCAGAGGGTAAATGCCATGATGATTTTTCGGTAATGCATCCCCATGATGGTCATTGATGTATTCATATTATAGTTGCCATGAAAAATCAGGGATCCGCTCGAGCGACCTGGATCCCAGCACTAGATCCTGGTGCTGATTTTGTTGATGTTAGGATGCGATGTGAAGCCATAAATTCATCTGTCTTTGAAAAGAAAGGCCCTTGTCATGATATCAGCTTCATCTCACGTTTTCAACGTTGAAACGCAAAAAAAAGTTGTCTACTTTGCCTACATATCTTGTGTGTCTAGATTTATTTATGTATGATTTATATTTGAGTATGCATCTAGCACCAAGCATCTAGCACTTAGTCGATCTCGCCTAGCCACGTCTATCTGCCGAATCCATTTGCAAATCAAGAACGCAACGAGATGTCCACGTTTCACCCAGAATTCACAAGTCAAAACCAACAACGTTTCTCCATCCAGCCAGCTGTACATTGCTTATTCAAACCTCGAGCGTTTGCCGAATCTCAGTTGCACAACCAATATCCACCAACATCTCCTGAGTCGACAATCCGACAAACTTGGCTCAGGTGCTCGAAATGCCTGATGGCAGCTGCTTCCATAGAGAACTGCTCCTGTGGTGGAACCATATTTTCGAGCACTACGAAACCATTTCCTGAGACGCCGCAGGAACGGCAGGAACGGAATGGCAGGAACCCCGGGACCAGCCTAGGACTGGTAGGCCTTCAGCCATCGAATCCCATAAAGGAAAGCGGCTGATGCCAATGTGAAGGCAAGTCCGCTTGACAATAGTGAAAACTCAGACTGCACGTTTTCCAAATAAATCGATTCTACACATTGTCCACCATCGAGGGGTTCTTACCTTGAACTAACGCCTTTCATGCCCTTTCCATATTTGCCCGCCTCTCACCCCATCATTGCTGATAAATGTTCCTCATGTCTGCTGTGCTTTGATGCTCGCATGACGCTTAGCGGCTCCACCAACATGGCCCTTTTTTTTAATAGGCCCAGTATCTTCTCAAAGTCACTAGGACCTGGTCTACCAGCTGTTGCCGCTCCATTCTGTCAGCAGAATGCCATAAATTGCAATCCACCGCATAGGAACGGCCCAAGGGGCTGGCCGCTGGACCATACATATAAAGGTTTGGTGGACCTGCAGCTCAGCGTGTGGCGGCAAGGGGGGAAGTCTTGATTGCATACTGACAGTTGGGCTTTGAATTTTTGGATCACCAAGTTTGTGATTCATCAACGCACCAGGCGGACATAGTTCCTGATCCTGGTCATTTTTCGTGCAACAATCCCTATTGAATCCAACCAAGTGACCGCATGAAGCTTTCCAAACATCCAATCACACACAATCAGTTCATCAAAATCTCATATTGATTCGGACCCGTGCGGTTGCATAGAAGAGACATGAAGAAACCCAAGCCCATCAGGGAACCCAGGTCTGCCTAGGGTATCATCTATTCCACCATTTTGATTTGCGAAAGGTTGCACCTGATGGCGATACAAGCTGTCTGGCGGTCTGTGAAAATCACCAAAGCCCAAGTGGGGGCCCTGTGATGCTTTGGCGTTTCATGATGGTTTCATACGTGAAATTTGAGGTACAGTCCAGATCTGGCTTCATCTCAAAATGGCATATATATAATATAATATAATATAATATAATATAATATAATATAGTATAATACAATATAATATAATACAATATAATATAATATAATACAATATAATATAATACAATACAATACTATATAATATAATATAATATAATATAATATAAGAAAATATAAGAAAATATAGGGAAATATCATATAATATATTATAATGTATGATAACATACTATATTATATCATATTATATTTTATCATATTATATTATATTATAATATCTGTTTATTTATACTATTATATGTTATATATATATATATATCATATATACCCTTCAAATGACCATTTTCAAGGGACAGTGATCATACTCCTGGTTGGTTTTTTTGGGTCACCTCAGCACCAACTGGATGATCTGGATGTCCAGGTGGAGGCATTGGAATGGAATCTCCATAGAAGCTGAAGAGCTGTGAACGTCGAATCGGGCCTAGCTGAGCTGCGAAAACCAACAGCCAGTTGGGCCAGTTGGGCCCAAAAAATATTGGTGTTTGGGCCCTTTTTTCAATAAAAATTGCTAGGATCGATGGATGTCCCATAAAATAGAATCTAAAATATTATAGGCACTGACCCATGGCGGCTGCCACTTCAATTCCCCTAGGAATTCAGCTCAATTCATCCTGAAGGGAACATCAAAAAAATGTCCCTCTGCTTCCCAACTCCATTTTGATAGCCGGGTAGACCATGAAGGCAGACCATGCGGGCTGGAGGAAAGCGATCTCTGAACAGCATCTCATGGTAATCATTACTTTTCAATGTGCTGAAGAAAATAAGGGCCTTTTGAATATCATGGAAACGATTCAGATCAAACTTGATTAATCAATATGCCATCAAACGATCATTATCAGATCGCAATAGCTTGTCTCGCTCTTCTCCTTGAAAGCTGTTGAAATTCCTTTTTGTCAAGTGAGCACCCTTTATACTGCCTGGTTGCTAGGTATTCCAATACTCCCCCAAAAAATGGCTAGTCCAATCAGTCTAATCCCTAAAACTCCCAAATCACCAACTGGTTGGTGGTATACCTACCCCTATGAAAAATATGAAAGTCAGTTGGGATCATTATTCCCAATATATGGAAAAATAAAAAATGTTCCAAACCACCAACCAGCCAACAGTGTTTTTGAACAGCAAAAAATCCACCTCCGCGTAGCCCGGTCGGTTTCGGTCGCCTCTGCGTGGATCCGAAATGCTAAAGCTCCAACATGCCGCCGTCAGCGACATCAACGATGCGAGGGATCGGATGGCATCACGACGCGGCGCCATGGCGAACTCACTTTGGAGCCAGCGAATGGGGCTTTTAGTTGCTCGGAACGAGCGTTTTTCGAATGTAGGCTTGCTTTGGTATTCTACATATATATATATATAGGATTATAGGATATGTATATATGATAATTATACACCATTACATACCTAGGACCTATATCACCGAAAAAACACTGTCACCAACACAGGTCAGAGTCCCACATCAAGCTGTACATTCCAGCCCTTTTGATCTTTGGCGTCCGAAATCGACCCTTCGGAAGCTGCAGTTGGGATTCTGCAGTGTTTTCCGGTTGAAATATTCCCGGGCTGGGATAGAACCCAACTTTGGGTGAAATCGATCCGCTGGAACTTGACCCTTTGTGAAAAAAACTTAAACCAAAAAGCGGAAGAATCCCGTGCCGGCTCCCTGGTCTTACGGAAAAACCCAACAAATCGCATGGTGGTTTTCCCCGGCTGTTTTCCACCAAAAAGGGCGATTCTGAGAGATTCAAGTTGCCCGAGCTCGCAAGTTCTGTGGTGTGATCGGTATATCATACTGGCCTGGGATGGTAGAAAGCTTACAAAATCATGGGATAAACATGGATAAACCACCAACTGGTGCAGGATTTCGCCACCATCCACAGTATCCTTGGTTTCGCTGTACATGTTACACATGTTACACATGTTACTATGGTCAACACAGCAACCCCCAGTGGCCCCGGCAACATCCCGCAGTTTTTTTTCTCCGGTCGGTTTTTTCTGTACCATCCCGCATGAAGCTGGGAGACCCGATCCGTTCATCAAGTTTGCTGGGCACAAGCTCTGCACAATCGCCCAGGGAATCGAGAATTATTTCGAGGCTGGACCGGGTAAGGACTCCACTGAATGGGGTTGAGCTCATTGCTCCACGACCAATGGAACTGAAACTGAAAAAGTGCCATATAGTGCCCTCATTGAAAACCTGACTATCCCTGACCATTTAAAGAATGCGGCATGCGTTTCCATTTGTGTAGCATTTTGGGGCTAAGATCTGCAACTTACATGGTATTTGCAGCATATCGGACCTTCAAAACTTTCATGTGTTTTTTGGATCATGTCTGAACCAGATAAAATCTGCCATTTACATTGCAAAAATGCTACATGTTTCAAAGTGAAATGTGTTGCTTGCATTAAAATCTTGCAGCATTTCGAAAACAAAATCATTCAGTTGCACCTGTGCTTCTAGCATATGCGAGCCTGAATGCATGATTGACGCTGTATGAAAAATGTGCAGCGCAGCAAATGCGGCGAAAAAATGCAGCGGAAAAAATGGCATGTTCCAGCTAGGTTTGTTCTTGTCACATGGTATTTGCAGCACTTGTGGATCAGATTTCTGCTCCTGGTGTTGTTTGATTTTGCGTGCAAGTCGTGGGATAGTTGTCTGTCGTCCTTTCTGTTTTTTTATTTAGTTCATTGTGATTTTCCCATTGTTGGTAACACACTAGTTGGAGCATCTTGGCGATTGAACGTGGCTGTTCTCCAAGGTTTGTTTAGGGTTGTTTTAGTGTTGTTTTGGGGATAGTTCGGGGATTATTTCAGTTGCTTTAGGGTTTGTTTAGGGTTGCTTGGGTGTCTCTTTAGGATTGGTTTAGGGTTTGTTTCGACTTGGTTTAGGGATTTAGGGTTCAGGCTTGGTTTAGGCCCTGCTTAGGGTTGGTTCAGGGTTTATCTAAATTGCTTTGGAGTTTGCGCGGGGTTTCTACAAGTTTTTACAGATTCAGCGCCTTGAAGGGCTGCTTTAGGATTGTATCTGGTTGGTGGTTTCAACCCCTCTGAAAAATATTAACACTTATTGACACTTATTGGGGAGCCTCGGGGCTGCCAAGCGACCCCGAAACCCGCTCATGTTCGCTGCGCCTAGCCGGTCTTAGCGGCACTGAGACCCATCACATCACTTGTCGACGTGATTTGTCGCCCGTTTTGGGCGAGCAAAGCTTCGTCCACACCATCCAGCAATCGTTGACTCCACTTCATTCGGTAGCAGACTGTCCATCGGGAAACTGATGCCGAGCAAGGCCTTGTCATACGGGTTGGAATCAAAACCTGATTGGCTTTCATGTAAGACTTCCACATTCGCAAGAACCACTGACACCTCGCGCCCCATTGGAGCCGGGCAGTGATGGGAGCTGCTTCTTCTGTTCCATACCAGCGCTTCTTATGGCACCAGGGACCTGTAAATGCAGTGTGAAGGTTGAAAGCCATGAAGATCTGAATACCCGAAATGAAAGCTAATGGTCCATCGCCTTGCAACATAGCACTTCCAGTCTGACTCCACCACGCATGGAGGTGTTGCATGTTGATGTGGCCGTAGCGCTGGATGAGTTTCGGCGGCACCTGCCACGTCAGCGGAGCCACCGGGACTGGGATGGCCTGTTCCACCTGCAAAGGCCGCGGCTTCGGAGGCACTGTCTGATCAGCCGCTGCCATTCGCGACGTCATCAAAAGCATTTTCAAGATTGCACCATGAAGAGACCTGTGAAATGCAAGCGCTTGAGCCAGTCCCGCCCATGCCTCCCAAAAATCAGGAGAGCGCCGGTGATTCACCTCTGCTGCCGCCATGTCCGTGAGATGATTATGCCAATATGCCCACTCCTCAATTGGGCCAGTTGCCTGCGAGATCTGCCCATGCGAAACCACTTTGAAAACCTGAACCATGCCTGGATCCAAAGAACCGACCAAACTGTTCAATTGATTCCAAAGGTCTGAATGCGGCCGATTTCGCTTGAGCGGCAATCGGCGCAAGATTCTCCTGAGCCCTGAAACTACTCCTTGGCAATCACACCAAAGCCTGACACGTTGTTGCCTCTGCGAGGCCCAGGTGATAGCGGCCAAGACTGCTGTCAGCTCTGCCCTGTACGGGGTTTGTATGATCCCATGCACATGACCTGCCAAGATCAGTCTGTTGTCAAGGGTTCCAACGCCTCCAGGCACCATTGTAACTGCCCAGGCGGCAAATCGGAGTTTGGGTTCCCTTGGATAAGCTCCCGATCCATCTGTAAACAAGTCAACCGAAACTTCACTTGCAACAGGGGGGACTACTGGTGACACCCGTGGAAATCCATCAGCCCGAAGCAGAAGCCCAACAAAGATCTCCCATTCAGGTAAAACAACCGGCCAACCATGGTCAACAAGGCAAGAGGGAAGAGATTCAACCACCGCAAGTTGCTCCGCTGTAAAGTGGCGACGACAGGGGGCAAAGTGGGGACATTCCCAGGCACGGTGATGAAAACCATCTTTGGCGGGGCACCAAGGACAAGTGGAAGACACCGAAGAATCAAACTTCGCCCTGCCATTTTGGGTAAACAGGGTACCGTCAAGGTGACACCGCAGGTAGACCAAATCCACGGGACCAAACTTGTGCAGGGCACGATGCAGTTCTGGCAAGTCCACCTGCTCAATGCCATGGAAGGTCGGTCGGTGGGCGACCTCATCAGCAAGGACACGGCCCCAGGCAAACTTGAAACGCAGCTCCAATTCATCCCAGGCAACATGTGAAACACTGAAAGTGCCAAACCGGTCCTGAACCAAACCTTGACCACCAACAGCCCAACCGATACGGTGGAGCCGCGACAACAAAACTGAGGTGGGGCCATTGTGAGGCAGACCCTCCCCTCCCTGGGAAAACAAGCCAAGCATGGATTCAAGTTGACAGGCATTGCCCAAATCCCGGGCATCACGGAAAGTTTGAAGGATTGCCCATGCCTCTGGATCGCTCAAGGGCGAAGAAGAAACCAAATGGAGCATTGGATTAGCTCCTTTTCGATCGGCTCGAAGAGCCCGCATGGCTCCTGACCTGAGAACCCGAAAGTGACAGTCCCCCAAGTGGACCACCGAGATCCCATGTAAAGCCCGCGGCCAAGCCATCATGTGGATAGCAGTCAGCTTATGATGGTATGGTCCCTGAGAAGCCCGGAGCCTTACCCAAACCGGTGGAAGCTGCACCAGCCGCTTTTGGAGCTCAGCATTGTGGCAATGCCTGGTAAAGTTTTGATGGGCACCTAGGTTTCGTGCAGCCCTGGCAACTGCGACTTGGCTGAACCGGAACTCCTTTCTGGCCGAGGCTGCATTGGACCAAACCCGGGTCTTGGAAAGGTCAAGAGCTAAATCCAGATGCTCTGTAAAGGTCTCGACTGCAGTCCAAGCCCTCTCAAAAACACTCACATCATGAAAAAGAAGACCCCAATCATCGACAAAAGTGCGCAGACAAACCGGAACATTTTGAGCATGTAGCCACAAATCCAAAATCCAGTCAACTACCACCATTCCAAAGACAGAGAAAGCACAACCTTCAGGCAGACCGCAGTTTGATGCCAACGGGGCCCCAACCGACTGACGAACCCGAAAACGGCGAGTTTGCTTCGAGACAAATCCAGCCCAAGCACGCAGGGAAGACTCAGGGAAGTGCAGCAGCGAAAGCGCATACCAAAGAGGCCCACGTGGGATGTTGTTGAAAGCTTTCTGGATATTCATCAGTAGCCCATGAAGGCTCGTGCCATGGAAATACGACTGCTCCAAGGCTGTAGCAAGTTCATACCAAATGGCTTTGGCCTGACGGGCCGGGACACCACCCTGGACACTGTCGGGCAGGACTTTGGCTATGCATCGCAAGGCCTCACGGGCACGCTCCGAAGACCAAACCCGGTACAGAAGACTGTAAACCACCACAGGACGGAATTCATCAACCTTGGCTGCATCAGGTCGTTTAGCCAAGCTGGAAACAAAGCCATTGGCAAGTTGGGCTGGCCAAGAAGACCCAGATTCAACAGCACCAAACATACTGACTACAGCTTGTAGGGCACCTTCGGGAAGTGCGGCTAAGTCTGATTGGGAAACTCCATCGGGCCCTTTGGCCGCTGATCTTTTCTTATGGCGTATGGCCTGCAGTAGCCGATCAGAAGTCCACTCAAAATGGTCCCAGTGCAGAGGGCGGAGGGTTTTGTCCAAGAAGCCACAGATTTGGTCCCATTGACCAGGCAGAACATGGGCTTGCTTAGTCCACCGTGGCGCCCAAGCATCAGCAAACCGTTGCAGAATGTCCAAATCAGAGGTGACCGGACGTTCTTGGGTAAGGACATCACCTGGGGAAAGGCCAGCCACAGATTCAAGCCAGATTTGGTCCTCAGAGTGGGCAACAACATCAACAACCTGGCCTTGGATAACCACCGGGACATCAGCCAACAAAGGAGAGGGCTGAACCAGCACAACCGACTGGTCCTCTTCACGGACTTCTTCGACAGAGAGAGCAACCCGATCAAGAAGGGTCTCAGCTTTGGGCAGGGGGTCATCTTTGCAGTCCTGAAAGACAAAGGCCAGATGATGCTCTCGCCTGGCTTTAGCATGTTGGTAGCGGCGACTGGTCAAGTCACGCTCATAAGCCCGCACGTACACCTGAAAACCCTGAAAGAGGCCCTGGGCAAAGTCCAAAGAAGGGCACATCAAAGGCAAGGGGCCCCCCAACGCAGGCTTCAAGGCATGAGCATCCCACCAAAGTCCAAATCCACCCGGGAAGCCCGCAGCACAGCGTATGGCACGCCAGGTGTCATCAAGGTTGCATTTCCCCTGAAAACTGGAAACCCCTTTGACCAAGATGCGACAAAGAGACCGGAGTCTCCGAAGCTGGCGGAAAAAACGGGCATGTTGTAAGCTAGTGCCAATGTAGGCCGGCTGAAGGTCACCGTTGCGGGCTTTCTTCACTGCACATTGCGATTGTCTCACCGGTTTCGATTCCAAAACTGTTGCTCTGCCACATTGAGCTTTGATAACAAAGACCCCATGATGTTGGTTCCACAACTTGGCTCGCAGCTCAACCTGTGCCCAAAATTGTGCATATTCAACTGTTAGATCTCCCCCAGGATCAAAATCCACCTGGCAAGTCCATTGGGAGGGCCAAGGAAAGGCCTGCGGCGTTGGCCAAGACAAAACAGTGGTATGCATGTTGGGGCAAGAAAAGGAGGCTTGGACAGCGGCATGGTCAGCCCAATAGTCAAAGACAACCCGGGCACCCAAGAAGGCAAGTTGCAACTCAGGCGAAATCCACATCTGGTCAATCCTCTTGGTACCTCGTCCAGTGGCCTGAGCAGAAATTCCAAAACGCCAGGCATTAAGATCTTGCACCTCACGGAAGCCTAAGTCATGGAGCCGCTGCAGCTGTTGGAGCTCCTCAGGAGCAAAATTGAAGTCCCCACCGATGACCCGAGGACCAGTTGCTTGAGCACCAACCCGGTCAACCAATTCCGCAAGGAGGGCATCTGTTTGGTACCGGGCTTGCCTGTGAGCAGCATTACCTGGCAAACCATAGAGCATCCCCACAGTGACCCAAACCTCATTGACCGCCATACCAACCACCTGAATGCGTGACGTTGCATAGGAATCAGGATCAAAGGCATGTGGCAAAGCCCTGGCAGGGAACTTGGAGGCAAACAAAACGCCCGAATGGATTCCTGTGTCAGTGCCCGGGCGGGCAAGGCAAGGAGCACCTGGGACAACATACTTCCATGGGCTGTGAAGCATCTTAAGCCCTTTGGCCAGTCCTGACATTCCTTTCTGGGATAGATGCGTTTCCGCAAAAATCCATGCATCACCATCCAAGTGATGAAGTTGGCCAAGCTTCCTATTCAAGCCAGAAGGGTTTGTTGTGCCCAAAGACCACGTAGCGGGGACTGACTCAGGGCCAGGGTGCGAGGCTTCGCCCACACGCAACAAACCAGCAAGTGCCAAAGCAAAAAACCACTGCCTGAAGCAAACCCTCGGATTGAAAAGGGGGCTCCCAGCCCTCTTTCTGGCAGTTGGCAAAGTCCAAAATTGTTTGTTCTGCAGGTCATCCAAGGGCTGCTGCGCACAAAGGATTTGACCACACACAAAATAACGGGCACACATAGCAAGAACCACCAAAGCTAAGGTTCTGAAACCATGCACAAAAACCCGAAGTGAAACCCAAAACTGGCCACAGAAACGGGCACAATCAGCAAACATAGACGTCACGCTCATCAGCATATTCAGAAGCAAGTGAGACACCAGTGTCCCCGCGCTGCACCAATGCATGACCTCGAACAAAGGCCAAACCACCAAGAGAACCCCGAGGCCAAGCACAACAAGTCGCCAGGTGACTTGACTCCTGCCAGTGCGGAACGCCAAGGCTGTCGACCTCCCCAAGAATTCGGAAACGCCAAAGGAGAGTCCTGCACACATGATGCGACAGATACAAGCACAACACCAAATCCAAAAACCACCTTGAGAGAGGCCGGCAATCCAATAGGCCACTGGCCAAGAGAGTCCAACGCGGCCAAGTAGATCACAACACCCGGAGAAGAGCAGAAAGATCCTGGTCAACTGCTCGAGGCAAAGCAAAGAGATCCATCGTGGATCCGGTGGACCCCAAGTTAGACACTCCAGCCAACGCCCGCAAGAGACAGAGCCGTCGAGGATACGGGGAAACACCACTCCCACCGAGTCAGGCAATTCCTGTGAACACGGATGCAAAGATGCATGGGAAGGTTTCCAACACCAAGAAGTCAGGCAGACCAACAAGCACACCAATCCAAAAAGAAGAAGGCTACCAACCGTAGCTTCCCAATCACCCGTGGTAACCGGCCAGGCAACTGGGCACCTTCACTCTTGGCGGGGCCGCTTTGAGAGCAAGGATTCAAACTGCGTCATCTGCTTGTTGAACATGCTATCCAACATGGATTGTTGGTGCGAAACCTGCTGTCTGAACTGCTCTTGGAAGGCATCTTGGAACGTTTGGATCGTGTGGGCCTGGGTAGCCACGGCTTGCTCAAATTGCTGACCCTGCTGGTGGACCTGGGTACGGAGGTCTTGGAAATTGGCGGCTGTCTCTTGGGCATTCTGCAAAGTAGTCTTGGCCAAACTCTGTGCTTGGTTCTGCAGGTCCTGAACTTGAGACTCCAGCTGGGAGACCCGGCGATCCACATTGGCGTCATCATCAACCTCCATGCCTGGCTTCGGCAACTGGGCAAGGACCTCCGCCACAACCTTTTGAGTCATATCTTCCAAAGGGTTCCCAATTTGGAACGTTTGGGGCTTCTGTGGCAGTTTACTAGCAGCCTTTGCCCAGGGATCATTTTTCTGGATGAGGTCAACCTCACATGCTTTGGACACAAAGGATTCCGTGGCAGACGTGGCAACCACCTTGGGTTCGGTACGTGCAGGCTGGCTGACATCATCCTCTCTGGCAAACATGACATCACCATGGGCCATCCTGACCTTAACCGGAGGGTCATCCACAGACTGCACCCGAAACATAAGCCCTTGGACATGGGACTTGGCTGGAACAGCTTGGACCGGTTTGGCAGTCCATCCTGCGGATTGCAGTGCTTTGGCAACAGAGGCTTGCAAGGTTCCAAAAGGAAACGGTCCCACCAAAAACGTTTGTCTCTTTCCCGGAGGAAGGAACGTATGGCCCGGCCTCAGCTTTGCAAACACCTCGGCAGCATGCTCAGTACGGCACCTCAATCCAACCTTGGCTCCTAGTCTTGCCATGCCGACCACATTGGGAATGGTCTGGCGCTGCAGCAGCAACTGGGAAGCATCCAACTTAGGGATCCACACCACCTGAAAGTCAGGCGAAGGCTTTCTGCCATCCAAGGCTTTCGGCTCAAGGTAAACCCCACTATGCCCTGAGAAGTGCTGCACCTGGAATTGGAGGTGCTCCGGCAGGCGGATGTGAGCCGTGAACATGTCAGCTTTTTCTGGTGGGCAATGAGAAAAGTCCAGACGCAACCACTGCTTACCCCAGAGTTCAAGCACCGGAGAGTCCATTGGCGCTTGGGGCAATTTGTGCCAAGCTTCACATCCTGGACATTCAGGGTCCCCACATGCTTGCATTGGCGGGATCTTCTCAAAGATGTGTTGCAATGGGTGAGCAACCACTGTTTGCCAATCCTCAGTCGTTTCATCACGGAACACAATAGCCTTCACCACGCAGGTCGGAATGGAGAGAACTTCACATCCCTGCTGAACAGGAGCCCTTTGAACCCGGATTGCACCAAGTTGGAAAAGAAGGCCATCAACAAGCAAAGGCTCACCATTAGCAGCACAGACCAACGGGACACGCTCAGCAGTGACCGGAAAGGAGGTGGGCAACGGGCCCTCAGCATCAACCACAAAGAAAGCCAGGGGACCTGCAGACAAAGGGTTGGGTGCTTTAAGATAGGGCTCAACACAGGCTGCAGACACCACAGCAACTCCGGCAGCATTGGGCCCAATTTGGGGCAACGGAAGCTGGCTCAAGCCTTGGCCATTGTCGCTTTGGAAAATTCCATGTTCAAGACGCAACAGGGATGGGTCAACACTGGCAGCAGGAGGGACCCCCTTGCCTTTGCCTTTGGCCTGCTTGTGCTTCTTGTGGCCAATTGGCCTGTCAGCCTGGCGTTTGGAAACCTGCATCTGGAGCTCAGAAGGTTTGATCAACATATACGGCGGCCGCAATTGGTTGGCCAACCATTTGAGTTCCCTCCATGGATTGGTCGCATCAAGAGCCCTTGAGACCCCTTCTTCACCAAGTGCCTTCAAGACAGCAGAAGCACGCTGGGCGGAGTCAGCTTCAGAGACACCATGCTGAGTCAAGAGCAGAGCCAAACGGTTGGACAACGAAAGACCAAGACCAGCCAGACGTGGACGTTGACAAGGGTCAGGAAGCCCATCACCGAACTCAAAGCGGATCCTGTGAGCAAACTCCTCCAGAGCAGGTGGATCAGCAACCATGGGGTGGCCCCACAAAAGGTGACGCACAAAACTCAAACACAAGGCCCCACAATGGCCTGCAGGGAGAAATCCAATACTGTGGGCTTTCCAGACCCCCTGGGCACCCCCCCGCACAAGTCCAATAACTCGACTCAATCCTTCCAAAGCAGTTTCAAAGCCCGGAGACACCGAGAGAGAATGCAGCACGACCCCAACCATATCGACTCTCCAAACCAGTGGAATCCAATGAGTTCCAAGAAGCACTGCAGAGATGACCGTGGCAACAGGACCCAACACAGAGACAAGTTCCTTCCAGGTAGCAGGCTGGTCATGTTGCACCAATCCCGTAACAAGCAATGGATCCCAAACATGAACTCTTTGATCCGATTCCGTGAGAACTGCAACTTGCAAAAGTCCATGCATGATCTCGTCATCTCCCCACACTGGTCCCTGCATCCCCAGCAAATCCTGCCTGGCAATGCGAAACATGTCGGGGTAGCGCAGGTCAGCCAGTTGTTCAGTGGTCACAACCGGTTGTGTGATGGGCGAAGAACCTGGATCAGTGGCTTGGTGCAAGAACTCTGCAGAGTCAAGACAACAAGGCAGGTGAGGCTGCGCCTTCAACTGATCAGGAGTCCAACTGGCAGGGACAATGGCAACAAGTGAACCACCTGGAATGGGCAAGTTCGGATCAACCGCAAGTCCATCAATGCGCACCAAACAACCATCGACCGAAAGTCCAAGATTGGCCTCAGCTTGCAACAACTGGGAACCAGTGGTACCGGGGGACAGACCAATGGCAACATCAGGTTCATCAGTCAACGGACGGGTGACAACACATGTCATGCCTACATCTTCAATGGGGTCATCAACATCAGTAGGTTCCACCGCCGTGGGAGCAACTGGCAATGGCCACATTGTCCGACAGCACTCAACAACCTCATGCATGTAGGTTTGCAAGGCTTTCAAGGGGTCACATGGGTTCGGCAATTCAAGCGTTAAGTCCAAGCATCTTTTCACCTGGGCAAAAATCCAAAGCCCCATGATGGGTGCCACTGCTTGACCAACTCCAGACATGGCAAGGCGCAAATTGTGACCCATGGAGATGTTTGGCATGCCTCCCATGAGTGCCCACATTTCAATGGGGTGAAGGTATCGTGCATGCTCCATACAGACATGCATGTGCACCTGTGACGTGCCCAACTTCAGCAAAGTGCCGATAAGTCCACGTTGGCTCAAGCGCTTGTCACTCAAGGCAGCTCTGCAACCACATGCACAGGTGTAAAGCTGATTGCCAGCACTACGCAACAGGGTCGGCAGCTTCTCATGTGGTTTCAGCCAAGTCGATTCCATGCCCCCAGCTGCAAACTGGTAGTACTTCGACAGTTCATACAAGTTCAGCACCAGCTGGTTCTGGTCATACTGATGCCAAAGCTGGAACTCAGGGATCAAGTCAGCAACAACCCTGATGTCAGAGTCCATGGGGAGGTCAAGCAACTCACAGGGAGACACAACCGGGGCAGTAAGCACAGCAATCCAACGGTCACGTCGGGTGCACCAAACATTCCCAAGCTTGACAATGGCTTGACTGACACGAAATCCAGTGTCCACAGCAAATTGGCGAATGATCTCCTGAGCAGCAGCGTCTCTCAAGATCTCAGGAGTACACTCAAGGATCACTGCAGCTGATTGGAGAAGCCAACCGATCAAGAGCGACTTGGGCAAGGAGGCAGACCTGGGATCCTCCATACCCCGACGATCCCCCAAGACCGAATGGGGCTGACAAGCAATTCCAGAACAGACAACGGCATGAAAAAGGTCCTGCTGCATCAGCTTTTGGACAACCGAGGGGTCCGCAAGGTCACCACAGACAAACGTTGCCCCAGGATGCAAAGTACCGAAGAGGGACTGCCAAATGCCATTCTGGTCAACCCCAGCCTGCACGTTAAAACCAAGACGACTGGCCGTAGAAGAAAATCCACCCATGCCACAACACAAGTCCACCACACGGGAAAGGGCATCCGGACTGCACAGCGACACAGGGACCAAAACAGACTGGGAGTCCACAGCAAGACAAATGGGCTGTACCGATGTCACCAGTAGTTCGACCCCTGCTACAACTGGAGCTTCAGGAATAACCCCACTGATCCAAACCTTCATGCCCCTTCTATCAGATGACTGCACCAAATGCCAACTTCCTTTGGAATTGTAGCAAATGAGGGTAAACACCATAGGGATCCTTTGTCCAGCTATCAATGTTCCCCAACCAGGCAGCATGCGGTGAAACAAAAACCTGCGACACAAACTCAGGGGTTCTGCTAGGACAGCCTCACTTCTGGAAAGGCCCTGATCCGAGGCTTCTGAAAAATATTAGTCAAATGGGATGATTATTCCCAATATATTATGGAAAAAAAAACCAAACCACCAATCAGCTTGTTAAGAAGAGTTTTAGTTTTAAGGCTCGAAAGTGCGCAGACAAGTACAAAGAATGTGTTCAAGACAATGCGTTTGCCACCGTCTCAGCAAAACGATGGGGAGGGAGGGGAATGGCGCCATTGCCCAAACGAAAACAAAACGATGTGTTCTGTTGTTGGCATTGCTCTCTTTCTCTTTTTGCTGTGTCATCTTAGATTATCTTAGATTGAGTCTGCTCGTGAAACACGCTCGCATATTATTTAAGGTTGAATATCTGATTGTGTTTGGTGCTGATGTATCTTACTGGTGTTTGCAGCACTTTGGGCTAAGTTTCCTGCTCTTGCTTTGTTGATTGATGTATTTGGATGTTGGATCTTGTCCTTCTGATCGGTATTGTTGTTCTTTCCCTCTTAACAGTATTGTTGTTTTTTATGGTTGATCATGTTTCCCTTGTTGTCGGCGCAATATTTGCAGCATATTGCCAAGAAACCCAAGAAGCCTAAAAGCCAAGAAGCCTAAAAGCCAAGAAGCCAAAAGCCGCAAAAGCCGCTCCAAACAGACGGGAAAACAATAATAATATATATATATCTAGATAAAAAGAAAGCAATGAAAACACAAAAAATGCCTTTCATTAAAAAATGTGTGTTTAGCTTGTCAAGCAGCCAGACAAATGGAATCCCAGCGTTGCTACTTGCTCCTGTTTTTGATTGATTTGTACATTTGGATAAAGAATGACAATAATTGGACCAACTGGGTGTATTTTGAACTGTCTCTTCCCGGACGTAACCGCATTAATTATCAGTACGTTCATGTAGATTTATGGAGGCAGATGTATGTCTTCTAGATTTGTTGCATGACAACAAGCTGCTACAGGGTTCCCTTTACCATCATTTCTTGTGCATCACGTAACTTGTTATCTGTTCCCACCTGAACCCGAACCGAAAAATTGGATCAGGAATCCAAACCTTTGATTTACTCCTCCAAACCCAGCAGAACCACATAGACTCTGGCCATTTGTTACATAGCTATTGAAAATGGCCCAGTCAAAATAGTTGATTTGCCCAGCTATAAAATGGTGATTTGCCATAGTTTCCTGTAAACGTTTACCAGGCCGGGTATCTTACATTGATCTGCCTTCCAGTGATCCATGTGTCACCAGTCCTGGTCCAACTTTTTTTAATCCTGTGGATTGGAACTACGATCCCACCACTGAGATTCTGCGAATCTCTTTCGATGTTGGCACCACCTGGTTGGTGGTGCAATGTGCCCATCTTGAAAAATATGAGTTCATCAATTGGTAGGATTATATGGGAAGGATGACATCCCATATATGAAATGGAAAATAAAAATTTTTTGAAGCCACCAACCAGCCATAAGTGCAGGCGAATCAATTCAAGTCTTTGTCTGATGAAAACCGGGACCCATGTTAAGCCACAAAATTCATCATCAATGTTCCTGTGGTGTTTTTTTGCGCCGTTTTCGGACGCGCCCAGATCATTCTCTATTGTCAATTCAGCGGACTGTCAGCTCATTGGCTTCGTTTAAGGGCCATTTTGAGTATCCATTTCATGTCACGATATGGTAAATGTTGTTCTGAAAAGAGATAAATATTAGAAATTGTAATAATTCTACATCCATAATTATGCCAGAATATTACTCTGATGTTTCCAAATTGAATGGTTTTGAAGGGGCACCTTTCTTCGAGAAAACCGGTGGGTTCGCAGCTCTGTTCACTCCGTCGCAGGCTCCAGAATTGCCACTGCTTCCTGACGACAAAAACGACTGATGAAAATGGTACTAAATCTCTATGTATATTTATGTATATTTTACATGTGTGTATACATATGTGTACGTATACAGTATACATATATAATCAATATTATTATATATATATATATATATAAACAGTAACCCCCCCAGTAGCAATGGGAAGATGGTGATGAACTACTGGATTTGGTGAAAACCATGTGAAAACCATACGTGCCGCTGGGCTTAGTGGAACTCTTAGTGTCGCCTTTGTCGCGGTCACATTTTTATGGAGGGAGTGGCTGTCTGAATCAAAACAAAAAACAAAATCAAAAGACCCTTCTTCAGTCTCCCTAGACTCTTGATGTACAATGCAATGTCATCGGATTCTGGATGCCAAATTCAACTCCCTCATTGGATCTCATGGCCACAGAGTGCAGCCAGGAAACCGTCAATTCCACAGCTCTGGGGCAGCCTGGAGCCAACCTGCGAGGTCCAGAGAAGTCTTTCGACCGAGCAGTACGGGCATTGCAGCCATCCTGAAGCTGGGCTGGACTGGAGCAGGTCTCAATTTCCCGTCATACTTGAGCTGAAATCATTGTGGGGCCCAATTTTCATCAGGGTTTCCTTTTTGGGAGTGGCAGTGGTGGCAGTCCAATGCTCTTCCCCCGAGCTTTACCACCAAGTTTCTGAGTGGGGTGTTGGATTGTAATTCGATGCCCAGCAATTCTGGCAGCAGAACTGATACTTGCGACGACGGAAGCAGTCACACCAGCCCACACCTCAGTACACGATTCCAGACATTGGTTCGTGATGAGAAGCTACAGAACCCTCGGTATATCAAAATACAGTGCTACAATATCATATAACAATCATATAACAATCATATCAAATTAAATCCTGAATTGAAGGAAAGGAACATGTAGCACCCTCTGACCCATAAAAACGATGTACCAGTGGTACCGCACAAGGCGGCGGCGAAAGTTTCAAAAACAGGAAACTTATAGGAAGGGTTGGTTGTTGCGACTCACGGATGGCAGAGCGAATCCACTGATGGACCGAAAGGTGGTTGGAGTTGTGTTTTCTGGGGTGGTTGCAATGGTTGCAGTGGTCACCTCACCACAACTGAAGGATGTAGTGTGGTGTAGCGCAGTTGTAGTTGTAATTGTAGGTGCAGTTGTAATTGTAGTGTAGTGGAGTTGTAGTTGTAACTTGTTGTAATGTAGTGTGGCGCAGTTGCAGTTGTAGTTGTGGTGTGGTGTAATTAACGTAGTGTACTGTTGTGTGCTGTAGTGTTGTGTACTGTAGCGTGGTATAGCGTAGTGTAGTCTAGTTCACTGTAGTGTAAAGTAGTGTAGCTGTAGTTGTAGTGTAGCGTCGTGTAGTGCAATGTAGTGGTAGTTGCAGTTGTAGTGTAATGTACTGTAATTAGTGTAGCGTAGTGTTGTGTAATGTAGTGTAGTTGTAGTTGTATTTGTAGCTGTAATGTGCTGCAGTTAAATTAGTGTATTGTAGTGATAATGTAATGTAGCTGTAATTGTAGTTGTAGCAGCTGTGGCGGTGGTGGTGGTCGTAGTAGTAGTAGTAGTAGTAGTAGTAGTAGTAGTAGTAGTAGTAGTAGTAGTAGTAGTAGTCGTCGTCGTCGTAGTCGTAGTAGCAGTAGTACTAGTTGTTGTTGTTGTTGTAGTTGCTGTTGTAGCAGTTGCTGTTATAGTAGTTGCTGTTGTACTAGTTGCTGTTGTACTAGCTGCTGTTGTACTAGTTGCTGTTGTAGTAGTTGCTGTTGTACTAGTTGCTGTTGTACTAGTTTCTGTTCTAGCAGTTGCTGTTGTCACAGTTGCTGTTGTAGTAGCTGCTGTTGTAGTAGTTCCTGTTGGAGTAGTTGCTGTTGTAGTAGTTGCTGTTGCAGTAGTTGCTGTTGTAGCAGTTGCTGTTGTAGCAGTTGCTGTTGCGGTGGTTGTAGTTGTAGCGTAATGAATGTAGTGTAGTCTAATTAGATGTAATTAGCGTAGTGTAGTGCAATTAGTGTTGTGTAATGTAGCGTAGTATATTTGTACTTGTAGCGGTAGTAGTAGTGTAGTGTAGTGGTACTTGTAGTTGTAGTTGCAGTTGCAGTTGTCTATCTATCGATCTGTCTATCTGCAGGCTTGAAAACGGAGCTATTCTGCGAGACTTCCTCAGTTTTTGAACTTGACAACGTCAAAAACGAAACAATTCTGCTAGACTTCCTCAATTTTTGAAGTTGACAACATCAAAAAAATACAGTTCTGCGAGACTTCCTCATTTTTCGAAGTTGACAACAAAAACGAAAGAATTCCGCGAGACATCGTTCAAAAATGGAAAGTTGAGTGCAGAGCTGACGGCCTGGTATCAATGCGTTTTGCCATTTTTCCAGTCCACCTGTCTAAAGTACTGCGCCTGCCACGAAAAAGGGATGCCAGGTCATACGAAATGCTGCACCTGTCACGCAAAATCATCTCAGCAAACCTGAAGATCTGAGGCTCCAAAATGTAACCCCTCTCACGAAATCAGTGCCCGGACCTCCTAACAGCTCTGATGAAGATGTCTCTTGTACTGCGCCTGCCACGGAAAATGCATCTTGCCAGATCCTCTTCAAATGTCCCACGCCTGCCACCGTTTTTGGACATGCTACAAAACCGTCACGTTTTGCTCACTTTTGACCAGGTGCCCAATCCCTTGCGCCTGCCACGCGAAACGACATCTGAACGTCCAAAAGTCGTCCAACACTGAGATGCTTTGTGCATTTTGACTTGGAAATCTGCTTCGCGCCACAATGGCGTGCACTTTTCGACATATGTTCCAAAGTGATCCAGGCATGGCGTGCTTTTTACATTTTGACTTCGACATGTGCTTCGCGCCACAACGGCGTGCACTTTTTCGACATTGCAACTTCCAAAAGTGCTCCGAATGTGAAGTGCCTTTAGCTTTTTCACTTGCAAACGTGCTTCGCGCCACAACGGCGTGCACTTTTTCGACATCGCAACTTCCAAAAGCGTTCCGAAGCTCAGGTGCTTTGTACATTTTGACTTGGAAATGTGCTTTGCGCCACAACGGCTTGCAACTTTTCATCTCTCATCTGACCACATGGCTCCGCACCCGCCGCTTTAGCGAGCCTACTTCTCGACCCTCCGGGGCCACAAATCATTGGAAAAACACAGTGTTTCGCGACTTTCCTACCTTTTCGCGCACCTGGATCTTCTTTCTTCTGAGACTTTCTCTTTTTTGATCTTCTTTCTTCTTTTCTCTTCTCTGGCTCTTCCCATCTCTGCTTTTCATCTGTCCATATTGTCAGAGTTTGGCTTCTAAACTTCCTTCGATAAACTGCTCCAGATTCAAGAATCCGCGAGTAGGAGGATGAAGGGGGCGACCACATCGGCAGCCATCACCGTACAGACCTCTCGCTTCCCTCCACCAAATCTGGAGGTCTTCCTGGATCCTTTCCTGTCCGTTCTCCCTCCGGCTGAAATTCTACCCTCTGCAAAATGGCTATTTTTAGTGAATTTTCCCATTAAAAATCGTGATGTTCCATAGTTTTTGGTATGTTTACCAGAGGGTAAGGATTTTTCGCGCAACATTTTGTCTGCCAGTAATCAAAGAACGGCAAATCTTCAATCCCCTCCAACGCATATGAAGGTTTTGTTAAGGAGAAAATCGACTAGAAATGGTGGATGTTCAATTGCCATCTTTGAGTACCACCATGTCATGACACCCACTAATGGATCTGTTGCCTGCCGGTTTACTGAGATGCTGCTGCCATCTGGAAAATGATGTTCCCCTCTATCAATTGGACCAAAAACCCAATTTAACCATCACAAAAACCCAGAAATCATCAGAATCCACAAAAAAAAACTTACTGTATTGGTTCTTAGCAGGGAATGGGGGGATGACCTATAATAAAAATTGACAATCATCCCATTCCCCCATTCCCTACTAAGCCCCAGAAAATGCAACGCTTCCTCCAAGCTTTGCTTCTCCATTCGGACCTTGTCGAACTGGAAAATACCTTTCGCTTCCCTTCCATTTCGCCAGCTGCTTGGATCAAGCGCCTCCACCCATACCTGGTGCGCGTGGCACGGAAAGATCCCCTGACACATCTCTCAAATTATCCTGGGGCAAGATACTGTTGACATGCGAAAGTCTATGCCTCACGGTGAGAACAGCTGAGAACTGGAAAAATCACATGTTTTCTTTGCGAAAGAACTGGCAAAAACTGATCCAAAATGAGCTGCGCCATTTCGGGTCGTCCCCACCACGCGGCCACGCCAAGATGGACCCGCAGCGCTCTCCACAGTGACTGGGAGTCCTGCGCTTTCTTGGGATTCACCTGCCATTTGCACCTCAAATCATCACCAGTTTGATAGGTTGATGGTTGAATTACCATCCCCAAGTTTGGTAGGTTTATGGCATTGGGTTTACCACATTCACCAGAAATTGCAACTTGCAGCTGACCATATCTGTCAATATTGTCACAGCATATCGATGTACATTGCATATCAACTGGGCGGACCCACCAAAAAGCTAGAACCGGTAATTTTGGACCAACAAACCAGAAGAAAAAAAAGATCTGCCTTGTGAGGGGCCGGGAGTGTTCCAAACCATTCAAAACCCAATGGGTTATGATAATCCTCGTTATATTGGATAATACAAGTTTATATAATCATCAACCAAAAGGGGTAGATCGCAACCACTGCTCAACCACTGTCCTACACGAGCCAAAGAATGAGACAAGATCTGCGACTGGGTCATGTCCATCACAGCAGTTGTAGCCGCAACACGTTGTCCCAAATTGTCCATGACTTGCCATGCTCGCAGCAACTGCTGGCCTGGTCTGGTCGGGATCCGGGATCAGTTACGCCATGGCTATGCTGGCTACCTTGAGGTCCAATTTAAGGTCAAGCTGGTCAAGTGATTTTGAAAATGCCTTGCATTTATTTGGCAAATCACCAAATTATCTAAACCAGCTGTCAGTTTCTGGTGTCGCGTTGCAAGCTTTCAGGATGGGGAATCATGCTGTCTACTCTTTGATTCAACAATGCCATAAGCGTAAAAATGCTGCCAGAACCAGGACAAATCTATTGCACCTGCGTCTACTTCTGCGCTATTGGAAGTGCTGATGGTATCAACAAAAGCGATCAAGGTTGTTTTTTGACGAAATTTAATTAAAATCAGAGATCATGGACTGTTGTGGCATCTTTGTATATGTGTCATTGTAGACAAATAAAGTCTAATACCATCAAGGGAGGGTGCAAAAACTTCCGAACTATGGACTATGGTCATGGTTAGCGTTCACACCATCATGTCAGCCACATCACCGTCATCATTATCATCGTCATCATCACCACTATCAACATCATCATCATCATCATCATCATCACCATCATCATCATCACCATCATCATGTTCATCATCATCATCATCATCATCATCCTCGTCGCCATCGTCATCGTCATCGTTATCGTCATCATCATCATCATCACCACCATCGTCGTCATCGTCGTCATCATCATCAGCAGCAGCATCACCATCACCATCATCATCATCACCATCATCATCATCACCATCATCATCTTCTTCATCATCATCATCGCCATCGTCATCATCATCGCCATCATCGTCATCATCATCAGAAGCATCATCATCATCATCATCATCATTAATATCATCATCATCATCATCATCGTCATCATCGTCATCATCATCATCATCGTCAAGTACTTGGGCAGTGTAACAGTTCGGAAGCGTGTGAATTCACCGGTGAAAACACTCTCGGGCACGAAACCCTGCCTTTTTTTTGGGTAATCTGGCTCCCGGGGTCACCGAAGTAGGGTCTCTGCATCTAGGAAAGTTGTCGACAGAAAGCGCACCAGACTGTAGGGGGAGCTTGATTTGCACTTCACATGTTTCAAAAAATGAAGCGATCGGAAAACTTTTGGAAGATGAGGTCGGCAGCAAAATGTGCACCAGACTGTATAGCGAGAGCTCGGTTTCACCCAAAAAGCGTAAAAAAAAATACCGTTCCCGGAGTAGCGCGGAATCGTCCGCATTGTCAGCGCTGCGCGAAGGTTGGTCGATTTGCTGTGACGCTCCTGATATGCGGGTTTGCAACCAGCTGTGACACAACGCATTGGCACTGCTGCGTGCAGCCAAGCATGACTGATCCTGCGACGTTCCTGGCACTGGCAAGCGGGATTGCAGCTGGAGGTGGCTAAACGCATTGTAACAGTTGCACAAAAGGTAGTTCTTAACCATAGTGCTACTCTTGTGCTCTGTGGGAAATTGCAGCTGGAGGCTGCTAAACGCATTGTGACAGCTGCGCGAAGAGAAGAATTGGGCTGCAGAACCTGCAAAAGAGTAGCTGGGAGGCAGCTCAGAGCAGAAGTAACCAAGATAGGCCCCTCAAAGAAGAAGTAGCTGAGAGAAGAGGCGCCTCAGCGAAGAGGTCGCTCAGTGAAGGAGTAGCTCAACAAAGAAAAGTTGCTCGCCTATCCATATTCATTCATCCATCCATCCATCCCTTCATTCATTGGTTCATTGGTTCATGGATTCACTGATCATTGGTTCCTGCATTCGTGGATTCATTGGTTCATTGGTTAATTGATTCACTGAACCAGTGATTCAATGATTCATTGATTCACTGATTCGTTGATTCATCGACTCACTCATTCACTCAATCATTGGTTCGTTGATTTATCAACCCACTAGTTCACTCGTGCATCGATTTGCTGAATCACCGAGTGACTGAGTCGTTGCTGTTCATTGCTTCATTGATTCACTGAACCATTGCTGATTCATAGGTTCATCTACTTACTACTTCATGCATGTCTTACTTGATTCACTGATTCATCGATTCGTTGATTCACTGGTTCGCTGTTTCATTGATTCACTGATTCATTGGTTCACTGGTTGGTTGATTCATTGAGTCATTGCTTCATTGATTTGCTGATTCGCTGGTTCATTGGTTCATTGGCTCATTCACTCAGTTGTGCACAGATTCTTTCATTTCATGTCTTCTCAACCACCATATCCTCATTCGCTGATGCACCTCACAACTTCAACGGCTCACGGCTTTTTCATCTCAAAAACGCTCCTATATATAGGCCATTAAATTCTCATAGTCATTTCCTATTTTCGAAACTTCCGCCCCGGCGCGTGCCAGGCACTATCTGGTACATGTGTGTGTGTGTGTATGTGTATACATCTATGTGTATATATAGATATACAGATATATAGGTATACAGCATATAAGATCCTTCCCTGGCCTGGTCCTCCAGATCCAAAGTGGTTAACCACTGCACCCAACATCTTCGATACGTAGCGCACATCACTGAGATACTCCAAAATGATCTGCCAAATGGCCTTGGGGCTGAGGGAATGGCTGACAGAGCTTAGCTGAGCTTACAAGTACTGGTTTTTCAATGCTTTTCAGGCCTTGAGACAGAAACTCTGTTCTCATTGGTCATTGCTTTGTGAAACACAACATAACACAATGAAAGAAAGCGTCTTCTCGTAAATCATGTTCACAAATTCGTTTGCAGCTCAGCACATTCAGGCGCCCCTGTCATCCTGAGATTGGATACCACTCATGCCATCGTGACCACCTTGGATGACCACCTCCCCATTCTCCCATCCGCCAAGCAGCAGTGGGAATGCGCCGTCCGCTGCGACGTCGCATGAGCAGAAAGATTTGCAGTGTGCTGGGTGGTGTGCAAACACCCTCCAGCAGCTGGTGGCCACACTCGGCCACCATCTCCTGGGATGGGTGCAGATCTCTAAACGTGGTGGATATAGATATAGCATATGTTAATAACATGCATTAAACCTGTAACAATTCTGGAGCCGTCATGTTCTACACGGTTCTACATCCGAGTGTGATCGCAAAACAACCAAATTGCATCCATGAAACCAGAAATTGCAAGCTCTTGAGCTAAGAAGCAGGACTTCAATTTGTTCTCTGAAAGTTATCAGTAATTTAGTGGGCATCGCGAGCGATATCCTCCACTGACCTCGTTTGCAGAGTCGAAGCTGGGTATACCTGCATCAAAACTGGTATATACTTTTTTTGTCGGTGCCGGCGCGTTTGCCGGTTGCCGGCGCCTGTTGCCAGTTGCGGGTTGCTGGTTGCCGGTTGCGGGTTGCCGGTGCAGGTGCCGGTTGCTGGTTGCCGGTTGCCGGTTGGTTGCCGGTTGCCGGTTGGTTGCCGGCGCCAGTGGCCGGTGGCCGGTGGCCGGTGGCCAAGCCTAGACGCCTGTACGCCATTATACGGCTATAAATCAACCCAGAATAAAGACCAAACCAAGCCGAAGCAAACCTTGAACCAACACTGAAACAAACCTTCAATCAACCCGAGAACAACTTTGAAACCGATACAAAATAAGCCTTAAACTTACCTTAAAGAAAACAATCTGGAACGGATCCTACATAGACCTTGAGCAAACCCTAGAACCGATCCTACATAACCAATAAACCAACAACCCTAAAACAAACCCAAGCGGCTTGTAAACAAAACCTAAACCAACCCTAGAAACAAATAAACCAACCCTACAACCCGAAAGCAACACTAAATCCGCCGACCCCGGCCTTCGCCAAGGCAGGGGCGGCGCCTGGGATCACCGCAGGTGTGGAACTTGTCTTTCTTAGCAACAGGCATCCCAATGGCTTCTTATGGGCTTCCAGCGCAGGCAAAAGCCCACATCCATGGCTTTTTATGGGCGTCCAAGCTTGCCGTTTGCCAGGCCTAAAACCCTCCAAACCCCTAAAACCCCTAAAAGGCCACTTCAATGGCTTCTTATGGGCTTCCAGCGCAGCGCCCACATCCATGGCTTTTTATGGGCGTCCAAGCTTGCCGTTTGCCAGGCCTAAAACCCTCCAAACCCTCCAAACCCCTAAAACCCCTAAAAGGCCACTTCAATGGCTTCTTATGGGCTTCCAGCGCAGGCAAAAGCCCACATCCAGGACTTTTTATGGGCGTCCAAGCTTCCCGTTTGCCAGGCCTAAAACCCTCCAAACCTTTAAAACCCTCCAAACCCCTAAAACCCCTAAAAGGCCACTTCAATGGCTTCTTATGGGCTTCCAGCGCAGGCAAAAGCCCACATCCATGGCTTTTTATGGGCGTCCAAGCTTGCCGTTTGCCAGGCCTAAAACCCTCCAAGGCCACTTCAATGGCTTCTTATGGGCTTCCAGCGCAGGCAAAAGCCCACATCCATGGCTTTTTATGGGCGTCCAAGCTTGCCGTTTGCCAGGCCTAAAACCCTCCAAACCCCTAAAACCCCTAAAAGGCCACTTCAATGGCTTCTTATGGGCTTCCAGCGCAGGCAAAAGCCCACATCCATGGCGTTTTATGGGCGTCCAAGCTTGCCGTTTGCCGGGCCTAAAACTCTCCAAACCCCTAAAACCCCTAAAAGGCCACTTCAATGGCTTCTTATGGGCTTCCAGCGCAGGCAAAAGCCCACATCCATGGCTTTTTATGGGCGTCCAAGCTTGCCAAACCCCTAAAACCGCTAAAAGGCCACTTCAATGGCTTCTTATGGGCTTCCAGCGCAGGCAAAAGCCCACATCCATGGCTTTTTATGGGCGTCCAAGCTTGCCGTTTGCCAGGCCTAAAACCCTCCAAA